TTGATATTAGATAACTGTGTTGTGTGGGGGGGGGGGGGGGGCGGTAAGATTTGTTTCACCTGAAGGTATACTGAAGAGTGTGTCTGTCAGCTCCCTATTTTCTCAAATAGCCAATAACAGCGCCACCTATTGCCAAGTGAAGGTCTCTTGTTGTCCCATGAGAACAGCCACTCCTCAAGGTCAGTGAAGGTCACCTGCTGCTATCCTGCTGGAGAGAAATAAAGGAGGAGAGGCCAGTGTTTACATATAGATATGGTCAAAAAAGCAAATGGCCTTGGCCTGCCTCATCGCTTCTTTCACAATTTGCTAATTTGATGTTGAAATGAATGATGACGATCCTCAAGGAAAATACTTACCATTAAAGCCCAAATCGTGAGAGGACATTAATTATGCCTGTAATCTGTGTAGTCAGTGGTGGTTCATGAACATGCAGTCACATCAGCGTGCAGGAGATTGCTGCAGGATGAGGCTGAGTCCCACAGATTTGAATCTGGGCTCTGGCTAGGCCATTCAAAGAGACTCACAGTCATCCTGAACCCACTCCTTTGATATCTTAACAATGTAATGTGCTTAGGGATGTCGTCCTGCCGAAAGATGAACCGTGACCCCATGCTAAGGTCAAGAGCACTCGAGAGCTTGTTTTCATTCTGGGTCTCTCTATACATATGCTGCATTGCCTCCCAGTTCTTGCCGCTTAAAAACATCTCTTCAACATGATGGTGCTACCACCATCTATCACTTGTAGGGATGGTATTGGCCAGATGATGAGCGGTGCCTGATTTCCACCAAGCATGACATCTGACATTTACACCAAAGAGTAAAATCTTTTTCTCATCAGACCAGAACCCTTTGTTTCATTTGTGAGACTCCTGTGGGTGCATTTGGGCAAGCACCGAGTGGGCTCCCGTGCGCCTAATAGTCTGGAGTGCATTCTGTCTGGCCATTACACCACACAGCCCTGATTGGTGGATCAGTGAGAAGATGGCCATCCTCTTGGATGATGGGATGCTGGAGCTCTGACATAAGGTGCTTGGCTGCCCACTGACTGAGGCCCTTCTTCCCTGAACACGTAGTTTGCATGAGCATCGAGCTCCAAGAACAGTTCTGGGGCTCATCTCATTATTCTAATTGCAGATTCTGAAGTCCTCAATCCTCTATTTACATGCTAGCACCTCCAACCAGAAATTCTATCAGGAGGGAGGCGATTGACAAAGGAGAAAGGTGGGAGGCGGTAGAAATGTCCCAAGTGCGTCTCCTCCGCCCCCTCAGCCCCCCGTGCATGGACTGCATATTTGGAATTACTCATAACTATGTGAAAAAAATTTGTTTCTAATTTTGTTTGTGCAGCCATATGCATTTGAGAAAACAGCAGCCTAATTATTCCTACAAACCTTGGAAACAGGCAGTTGGTTCAGTGTGGTAACCATGAGCCAGTGCAAACAAGTCTTTTTGGTATTAACCCCCGCCCCAGATATAACTCACTCGGTAAAATATGTTAAAAATAAAAAATAATTAAGAAATGACACAAGCTTGGAATAAAACCAACACCTCCTTGAATTTTCCAGGTGTCTGAGCATTCACACAAACTCCCTGAGCAGCTGTCATTGGGTGGTACTACTGCACGATGGTACCTTTACATTATGGAAAGTCTTTCGATACTTACTTGTCATGTCCTTATTTATTGTATTTGTTTGTTATTAATCATACTAGTATAGCCTGTACTACCAGAGACAAATTCCTTGTGTGTTCTCCATACTTGGCCAAATAAGATGATTTTCATTGTTTGGACCATGGTGAGCAACACAAGACATGCACACGATGGCTAAATAAGTATCACATATATCTAAAATGTGAGATCATGACAAGTTACATGATGTGTATTTGTTCCAGAGAAATTCAAACCACCTATATATCAAAATAGAATATATAATTCAGAGATGAAAGTCCTCCGGATTTTCCCGTAATTCCGGATTTTCAAATTTTAATGAAAAATTCTCCAGAGAATTGAGGAAAAATTGCCTAAAATTAATCCGGATATTAGTTGACAACATTGAATGAACACGCATTTGAGTTTGTTGTTTTGCTTTCACTAGCGTAGCCATGTTGAGGCACTAACACTAGTGACGGTGAAGAGATTTTTGTCTCTTTATAAACACACTTGCTAAACCCCACTGGAATGAATAAAAGACGCCGTGGACAAGACAGTTGTTGTCGTAAAAATATATTTGGACAAAAAGGGAAACACAGAGATTGGCAGAAAAACGTGCCCGTCCGACTTCGAGTGTCGTCTCGGCTAGCTTAGCTTAGCTGTTGTCGTGTGTGACGTCGGTTGCGTCGGCGCTGATTGATTGAAATCAAAAGACGCGCTTGCGTACATGTTCGCGCTGATGCACGCACTGCAGAGAGCAGCGGACTATTTACTGCTGAGGCGTGCTTAGCTCGAGTGGCGTCGCCACAACAGTAATACCCTCCCCTCGCATTCTCATGGCCTCGCCATATCTCGGAGATTTTGAAATTTCGGCAAGAACGGAAGCCACAAAGGGTACACGTGGGCACACAAAAGGAAGATTAATCATTGAATGTCGAGCATTTGAATATAGCGTTTTGTGTAAACTAATTCATGCGTGATCAGCCAGGTGTGCGTGTGTGTACACACACATATATATATATATATTTTTTTTTTCCCCCGGAATTTTCAGGTAAGTCCACTTTCATCTCTGAAAATTGAATAGAGATTTTTGACTACCGGTAATTAAATCAACCCTGACTTGTTACTTTTAGCACACAGGACATTTTAAGCAAAATTCATTAAGTTATAATACACTTTGTATAAATATGGTCCCACATCATCCACTCATAATTAGGGACTGCAAAGTGTTGATTGTGTAAATATTTAACAAAAATGTGTGTGCCTTGTTCCACGATCTAATCTTTGGGGAATAATAATAAAATGAGAATTGTTAAGTCGAATGTGTTTCTGGTTTGTGTTGTGTTTGGATGAAATATTTAGTTGCCACTATTGGGTCAAAATGCCACCATTTAGGGGAATCTGGAGCCCTGCAACTGATACTTTAATGGAATGGTACTCGCTAATGTGCAACATTTGCACGTCTGAAAAAAAGCATGTTCTTTAGAAGGTTCTCGGGCCCCATTTTTCACATTTTCCTTTCCTTTCCAGGTGGTGGTCATGGGACTGAAAAACGTAAGCTATATTTATCCCATGGGCCACGGTCTATGTAGTTCAAGGAATACACTGAGAGTTTGTGTGAATGCTCAGACACCTGGAAAATTAGAGGGAACGTTGGTCTTCCCCACTGTCACTACAAAGTTGCAGACTCTTATTTGTCCAGAGGGTACTGGCAAGATGAAGAATTTACAATCGCGAAAGAATAAGAGGTCTAGTCCAATGCCTGATTGGAAAATAAATAAGTGTGCGTATTGGGTGTATTTTTGATAATGGCAGCTTAGAAATTGTAGCTGCTTAAAGCCCCCTTTGTCACAAAGGACAGAGGGCCTAGAGCCTGTGGATTAGTATGTGGCTGTCCTGCTCCAGGGAGAGCGACAAGCACATTGTTTGGAAGACGGCATTGATTCTCCGCTCTGAGAGAATATCAATCAGCCTGGCCTGTCGTAAATGTTATTCTAATTCTGAGAATATATTTTCTAAGCATCTTTGATCTGGTAATGCGATTGTGTGTCTTGTGAGCGTGCACATCATTAGTCTGCGAAAGTGTGTATCCAGGGATGTACTGTATGTATCTGCATTAGCATGTTGCGGGACAGAATTTGCATTGTCATGGTAATGCGACAAGGCCACTCTGAATGAATTAATTTTTGAATGAATTCCACTTTCTGGCACAGCATGGTGGATTGTGTGGAGGTGTTGTCGTAACTCTCAGCTGATCTTTGCAATATGACAAACCAACCTTTTTTTTTGTGATGGTGTGTGTGTCACTCTCTCCATCATCCCTCCCTCTTGTCACGCCTTTACAGCCTGCACTTTTTCCCCAAGGAGACCAACCAAGGAGATTGGTTTCCATGGCAACTGCATGCATTTCATGACTGTTTGTGCATGTCATCTTTTTGACTTAGTTGCGGCCACGCGTGTCCCGCGGTAGCTCACGAGGAAAGCTGTTTTCTGCAATCTATGGTCAGCTTCATAGATTTAGGATGTTTTTTTTCTTTTTTGAGGAAGCCATAGTAACCAAGAAAGTCCTCCAGTGCAATAGCCTCCTCTGCCAGTGTCTCCCCCAGACAAATTATTCCCAATGTCGCCTCACAACGTGTCAGTGAAGCTGTTTTATTAAACTGCATTTTTTGTATATGTGGTTGAAGGTTGTGGTCATGCGCCATCATTGTCTCGGATTATTTACAGTTATAGTAGGTTTGAAATTTTTTTTTTTTTTTTTTTTTTTTACTATTCACAAGGTTCCTATGTTTTGTAATCAAAGGTCACTGAGATTCTTCCGTCAGAATACACAAAGCATAAAGAACTGAAGTGTATCCAAAATTAGCGCTGAAGATATCTTTGAATTTAAATCAACATCACAAAACAGTAGAATGCAATTATCTCATCACAAAGGCTGCAATTTGGAGACAAAAAAAAAAACATTGGTCATTTGGTTACACACACACACACACACACACACACACACACACACACACACACACACACACACATATATATATATATACACACACACACACATATATATACACACACACACACACACAGAACTATATATTGTGAGCCCTGATACTAATAATGCTCCTCTAGGGCGCCTTCCCAGCGACTGTCAACTTGGTTCTGGTGTTGCGTCCCACCACTTTGCTGCAGCGGGCACTGTCAGACTTCCTCTTCAAGTTCAACAAGGATGAGTTCAAAATGAAGGTGGGGCTGACCTCCTTGTTATTGTCATTCCCGGGACTTCCTGTCTCGTAATTGGATCAATTTGTCTGCTGTGCTTGACTCTGCTCTGCTTCTTATGCGTCCTTGCAGGTGGTCATGCTGAGTTCGGTGACCGAGCTCCATGCCTACATCGACCCCGGACAACTAACAACGGAATTGGGGGGCACACAAGAATACTGCCATGAAAGCTGGATTTCCCACCGCACTGTATGCACGCACGCACACACGCTCCTCAGGGTCACCATCTTTTGGAAACACATTGTTCTTTTTTTAGGCACCAATGGATCTGTCTGTCTCTGTTTCTGCATTTCCGATGCAGGCAATTGAAGCGTTTGCTCTGATGGTGAAGACGACGGCTCACACTCTGCAGGCCTTTGGCACCGAGCTTGCAGAAACAGAAATGCCCAATGATGCTGAGGCCACCACCAGCCTGCTGGACTTGCATTCTCAAAAAAAAGACAAAATGAAGGTCTCTTTCTCACTCTCTGTCATGGGTAGAGTTTCTCATAATTACTTTGAAAGAAAAAGAAAAGTATCTGCACTAATTTGGATTTGCACTTTGCTGGTCATTTTTTTCCAAAAAGTGAATTTTTGGATGCTACTATTTGTCATTATCATGTGGTTGATGTACTCAGAGGAAATTTCTCATCTCTTCAAAACTTTCTTTTCCAGGAGGACCTACAGGTGTCGCAATCTCAGGGCGCGCGTCTATTGGAGTGCATCAACGAGCCTTTTCGGACTGACGCGGAATACCTAATGACCCATGATGAGCTGGAAAACCTCGCCACTGTGCAGCGGTAAGAGTAACTTGACTGTGTGTGATGTTGGACTTGTTTATTCTCTTGTCTGCCGTGTTTCTCATCCCACCCTCAGACTCCTGGGTCAGCTGGACGAGACCGAGACAGCATTTGACGATTTCTGGGAACGCCATCGCTCCAAGCTGGAACAGTGTTTGCAACTTCGAAGTTTTGAGCAGCACTTCCGTGAAGTGAGTTGAGAAAATTTCCAGCCTGTGCTAGGCAACAAAATGTTCTCTGCAACCATGCTTTGATGATGTGATATCGCTCACAGGTGCGCTGCCAACTTGATGCCACGTCGGAACGGTTGTGCGGTTTCTCAGAGGTCAGCGTAAATCCTGTCCATGCCGAGCACGTCCTCCGTGAGCTCAGCAGTCATGAGGAAAAGGCCTGTGTAAGAACACACACACACACACACACACACACACACGCGGGCAGCTGAAAATCGACCCTAACATGCTCCAGAAATCCACTTTTAGAAACAACCTGCTGGCCCTTTGCAGCTTTCTGAATGAAGAGATGAATAAAGAGGAATGTGAAATTAAATGACTGTCGGTATTGAGTGGAAGCCATACTTGGTTCTGGCTTTCAGTATCAAGCTTACTGTTCAGTTCGACAAGCAAGTTACAACAAACACAATAGTTGAGGGGTTTAGAATCTTCACATATTGAACACTCAATAGAAATTTTGTACATGGTTAAATGCCACCCATTTTAAAAAATTATTTTATCTGTACCTCATAAGGTTTGCATGTGTGCGGGATCCTATCCTTGCTGACTTTTGGCGGGATATGGGTAGAATGCGCTGGACTGGTCACCAGTCAATTGCAGGTTACTGTATTTTCACGACCAAATGTTCGATTTTCATTTCTTCTGCAAGCGTTACTGCCCCCAGTCGAATGGTAACGGTAGAGACGCTTCTCCCAGCTGTTTGTTGATTATTAATTCATCACTCGAGTTGGTCTTCAAACTCGGGCCACCTTGCCTTGTTTCCACGGAAACTCAGCTTCGTCTTCTTGACTTGGCGAAGCTCGTTTTCTTACTTCCTCCACTTGCAAACTATGGATTCATTGATCTTTAAATTCTCCCGCGGCTGCTTGATTGCCATGTTCTTCTGCGTAACTCATCGCTTGCAGTTTAAAATGTGCTTCATCGGCGTGTCTCTTCATTGGTGCCGTTTTCGGGGGTCCTTAGCTAAAGTGATGTTGTTTTGCACAAACGAAATCCCGGCACTATCTACACCACAGGTGTCAAACTCAAGGCCCGGGCCACATCATTTTATGTGGCCCGCGAAAGCAAATCAAAGATGACAACTTCCATGATGTTTGCTAAAATGTCTTCCAAAATTTCAAATTCTCATATGTAATAAAAAAGAGATATCGTAAGCATTTTCTTGTTAGCAAACCCCTCGTTGGAGTTACTTAAACAATAACGTTGAATAAACCATTATTCTTGACTTATTGATAGGGTTTCACAGTCATAGCGGCCCTCCAAGGGAAACGGTAACTACAATGTGGCCCGCGACAAAATTGAGTTTGACACCCCTGATCTACACCTACTAGGGGGGCGAGGGGTGTCTTTAGCGTCTTCTTTCACCCCCACCCTTCCCCCTTTAACGTCCGCATGCTGTCCTCAGTCACGTCCGCCTTTCCTCTATATAAGCAGCCTGTTGGCACATCAGTCAGTCAGTCAGTCAAGCGGAGCGCTCATCCAAGTCACACAACAACATTCACAGATTTTTGGAATTCAGTGCATACATAAGGCCCCCTGCATTATAACGCGCCCCATCAGAAAATGTGAGACTTTTAAGTGGGCTTTATGGTGGTGAAACTACGGTACATTTAGCCAAACTGTCCATGTTCACATTCACAGCCATGGAGAATTTGGAGTCTTCAATGAACCTAACAAACATCTTTTTGAAACGTGGGAGTAAGGTGGAGTGGCCGGAGCAATCCCAGGGCAGGCAAACACTAATCTGTTGCTCCAATAGGACGTTTTGGACTACGCCCTGTCACTTGCGAGCGAAGGCGACGGACTGATGGAGAACGCTCATTATGCGGAGGACTCCATTCGGCCGAAGTGCTGTGAGCTGAGGGCAGTGTGTGAGGAGATCAGTTCAACTCTGAGGGACAAAAAGAGCTTTCTTCTAACAGCGATGGAGCTCCACCATGCCCTGGAGAAGGTACTCTCACTTCTGGGCATCCAAGCTGCATTTCTGTGAGAATGCTGAACAGGTTTGTTTCATCAGGCCACCCGTTGGTGCGAAGAGGGGATTTATCTGCTGGCGAGCCAGCCAGTGGATCGATGTCAGTCTCAAGATGGGGCTGAGGCTGCTCTCCAAGAATTGGAACGATACCTGGAAACCGCGCCGCTTCACACCCTCATTGACTGCAGCGCCATCTGCTGCCAATATAAAGCGGTGCTCACTACTCAACTCAGGGTCAGTCAGTTAAAAATTGGGAATGTGGTGACATTCAAAACAAATGAACTAAAAAAAACGAATAAATGTTTAACTTGGAAATGAATCTGAATTAAAAAAAAAAAATCATCTCTATCCTGATCCACGTGGCACATGTTGATGTACAGTATGTCTTCCATCAGGACCAGGTAGAGAGAGTTTTCCAGAAGCAAAGCTCTGTCCAGGAGATGTTTGAGAAGAGACGCGTCAGCCTGAAAAAACTTGCCGCTAAACAGACACGACCAGTTCAGCCAGTGGCTCCAAGACCTGAAGTCAAGTCTCCACAGGCATCTCCCAGTATGTTTTGAAGCAAGGAGACACCATTGATCAAGTTTGTTCAAACCTTAAACCTTAAAACCTTTCTGTGTGTCAGATCAACAGAGAAAAGAGAGGAGATACTCGGCAGATAATGCCCTTTGCAGAAAGGTAAAGGCTGTTGTCCTATCAAGATGGAAAGGGACATGTTGGAAACTTTTGAAACTCCACTAAGAAATTGTATTTGTCCAGGTTGAGTCTCCCGTATCCAACGGTGGCACCAGACACGCCTCCCTGTCCGAGGAAGACGAAAACCTGGCTGTGCTGCGACGGTGAGCGGCTTCAGTCCTTCAGCTTCTACAAGCACTCGTTCATTAATGATGACGAGATTGGAGTATGTTTGTCTAAAAAAAAACCCAAAAAAACAATCCTGTTTGCGCTTTCTAGTCACGTGATGAATGAACTGCTGGAGACCGAGAGAGCATACGTGGAGGAGCTTCTGTGCGTTTTAGAGGTGAGCTTCCTTGCGGTCTAATCTGTACCGCAGTCTCCACACATTTACTGATGATACGTTTGAACAACGGCGGTTGTGTCGCTCCAGGGCTATGCGGCAGAGATGGACAACCCCTCCATGGCTCACCTCATTCCCAGTATGCTGCTGAATAAGAAGGATATCCTGTTTGGGAACATGTCAGAAATCTATGAGTTTCACAAGAGGTAATTTTTTTTTCTACTGAGGGGAACACTGGCATTTGTGTACTTGCTGTATACATCTTAACCTGGAGTGAATTTAATTTTCAGGACATTTCTGAAGGATCTAGAGGCTTACACGAACTGCCCCGAACTTGTGGGCCGCTGCTTCTTAGAAAGAGTAAGTACTTTGTCTTTTAACAAGCGCTTAAAATCAATGACAAGGTTCATGGTTGAAGAAAAGCAAACTGGTTGTTCTCTCTTCTCAGATGAAGGACCTCCAGATCTACGAGGCTTACTGCCAAAATAAACCTCGCTCTGAGAGTTTATGGCGGCAGTGCTCGGATTGCGCCTTCTTCCAGGTTCTTAAAAATGATTTGAAACAAAAGCTTAATATTGTAATATGACTTAGTTACTGTAATGTAAACTCAGCAGACACAACATTCTATCTTGTGAAAGCGCTATATAAATCAGGATGTGTTGTATTTACAACGGCAACAAGCGCACCCTGGAAAGTTCCTGTAGGTGGCGGTAGAGTGCTGTGTTGTCTGTGGACACAATAATATATCCGGATGTTCTAACTTTGCCATCCCAATTTGCACCAAAGTGTAATGTGTCATCCTTAAGCCACGGCAAAATACTCAGTACGGTACACCACACCACACAGTAGGTGTTTATTTATTTTGTTTAACAAATTAATATAGAAGCAAATAACAATTTAAATAATCGCACCAATGCATAATTTATCAGGGGTGGGCATTTTACAGAATTTTGCCCATCCATTATTAGTCATCCGTTAGTGGCCTGGGCCCTCGCGTCCTTCATCATCAGTCCGTCATTTTTTCAAGTCGAGTCAAACTGTAATCAACATTTGGTCAGGCAGTCATGTTCTTTTAACTGCGCTTCCGGCATCGCTTCTCGCGGTAAATTTCATTGGTCCGGGAGTCTGTCTGTCAGTCTGTCAGCTACTACGCAAGCCTATTTACTTCTCCCCTCTCCCGCCCCCCAACAGGAGTGTCAGAAGAAGTTGGATCATAAACTTGGATTGGACTCCTACCTCCTTAAACCCGTCCAGAGAATCACCAAGTACCAGCTGCTGCTGAAGGTGAGCTGCATTCACATAGCATGATGGCGTGAAGTCCACATGCAAAGCAGAGAAGACTGGCCATGCTTCCCCCGTTTGCCTTTGCAGGAGTTGTTAAAGTACAGTAAAGGTTGTGATGGCTGTGACGACCTCCAGGAAGCTCTCACCTCCATTTTGGGCATCCTGAAAGCTGTTAACGACTCCATGCACCTTATTGCCATCACAGGATATGAGGTATGATTGCATGTTTTATTATTGTTTTTCTTTCATTTTCTCTTTCAACCTGTGAATGGCAGTGAATCGTTTTTTTTCTTCTTATTTCAGGGTAACCTCTCAGAGCTGGGTCGTTTGTTGATGCAAGGCTCCTTTAGCGTGTGGACAGAGCACAAGAAAGGACATGCCAAGGTCAAGGACCTGGCCAGGTTTAAGCCCATGCAGAGGCATCTGTTCTTGCACGAGAAGGCCCTGCTCTTTTGCAAGAAGAGGGAGGAGAATGGCGAGGGATATGAAAAAGCTCCATCTTACAGCTTCAAACACTCTCTCAATGTGAGCCACTGCAATGTTCAGTCCAGAATTGCACATATTTCATTTTTGCTCTGTTTCTCCATCAGATGAGTGCAGTGGGAATTACAGAGAGCGCTAAAGGAGACAACAAGAAGTTTGAGGTTTGGTGTAATTCACGAGAGGAAGTTTTTATTGTCCAGGTAAGCTTTATTGTTCGATCAGGATCCGAAACCCACGAGGTTTCTTAACTTAAGGTTACGCGCATATGTCACACATTGGTAATGCTATCATTGTGAGGGGAAAAAAATGACAGGTTGTTGTGAGATAACACTGGATCGTTTCAATCAAAACTTTTTGCAAATAGATGAGACTAAAGGGAAGACGTCAGGCTTCAGTGTCATTCTCGGGTACTCTGGGTAATCTGCAGTACTACAGTATTTTCGGAGTTTAAAGATCTATAGCATCATCAACGGGGAAAACCCAAACACAAACAATACATTGTACATGAGAAAAAGTAAATGTTTGAATAAAAAAAGAACATAAATCATCAATAAGAGATGCCCACAGATGGATGAATTTATGACCATCCAGGTGTGTTTAGGGGGAGGAAATGCACCAGGAGAATCAAACACGGCCCTTATGTTGAAATGTTATTTTTGTTTAGGCTCCAACGCCTGAGATCAAAACATTGTGGGTGAATGAGATCCGCAAAGTTCTCACCCAACAGCTGAAAGCCTGCAGAGGTATCGTGAACACTTGACTCTGTGGCACAGCCAATCTTTTTATAACCTTTTGCTTCAAACATTTGTAGATGCCAGCCAGCAGAAGAGCTGCGACTCCCCAAACCACACCACCAACTCCTCTGTCTCGCTCAGGTCGGTAGTGTGGGCAGCTCTTTCCATCACTGTTAAACCTTCCTATTGAGCTGGTGACTCTCTGTTGCCGTCTTAACACAGCCCCTTTCGGAGCAACAGTCAAAAGAGCCAAAAAAAGCAGGAGGAAAAGAAGGCGGAGGCGATCGCTGTGTCCGACAACTCTTTGCCGGCCAAACACAAAGGTGACTATTCTTGAAGGCATCAAAGTCCCATTTTAATGCTACTTTATTATCTTTTGCTAATCTGTAATCCTGATATTCTCTTCACCATCCTCATCTGTCTATCTGTCGTCATCTTTGGGTACTTCTTTTGTGCTCTTTTGATTGGCACCGACCCCTCTTTCCCCCACGTATCAACTCATTGCTTCCAGATGAGACGGTGACAATTCCAACCGCGGACAGGTCGTCACTGACTAAAAAGCGTTTTACTTTGCAGGGCTTCAGCACGCTCAAGAGTCCAAAAGGTAACATGACAAATTGGGACTGGCCGTTTTCTAGAACTGCTGCAGATGCTGTTAAAATTCAATGTTATTTGTATAACGCTAAGTCACAAAACATAAATTGTCTCTGCTCTTTACAAAAAAAAAAAAAAAGGAGCAGATTTAAGACCATAAGCATGGGACGCATGTCTACCTCGACCAAAGGTGCCATTTTTTTGGCTGCACCTCTAGAAGAAGCACAGGCACCTCCTATTGTGTGGAGAGGAAAGAGAGACTTTAGTTTCATAGGGGGATCAGAACATGCACTATTACTACTGTCTGGCAGTTCAACTCGAAACTGCTCTGAGGCGGAGAGCAAATAGAAAGTCAGCGACGGAAAATGGAGCTCCTTTGAAAACAGATACAGTGATTGTACATGAAACAGTAAGTGTGAGAAAAATGATGCCAAAAAAACGACATGCAGTGTAGCTGTCCATCAACGTCCGATACTCTGATATGCTCTTCTGTTAATAATAATATAATCTGTTTCTAATAATAATGAATGAACTGTATACTCAATTTAGCCTGACAGTGGTTTGAATTCAAATTCAAATTACCGTAATCGAAAATACATATTCCCAGATGCATGTCGATAAAATAAAAAAAAAACTACTAAATGGCTCGTCAAGGCTTTCCGCGGGTCATTGAAAAGCATTAAAAGTAGTGCTGTCAAGTGATTTAAAAATGTAATTGAGTTCATCATATGTGAAGAGCCGGGTCTGTAAAGTCTGAGCCATGATATACTCACTAAATTCCAGCTAAGTCTTATTAGCAGATTTCGTGCGCATTTGAAAGGCACGCTGAGCAGCAGAATGATGGGCCCCGTTTTCTACGTGTGCGATACAGTCAGTCGCACCCTGCATTCTTCACGGTTATTGACTTAAAATAGATTGATTGAACAGCGTTTTCTAGAAAGCAAACGCAACAAACGGCAAGCTCCGCAGGAGCCTGATAATTCCTGATCATTTGAATCGGGTGTGTTGGAAGAAGGTGGGAAACACGAAAAGACGCATGACCTCTTTTGGAAGAGTACTTTCTCAGTCATGCCTTGCTCCTATGTGGACACCGCCTCCTCGTGGCCTTAATGCAGAATTGCATGAGTCCACGCGGCCAAACAAGAGGAAAGTGTTTGATTCTTCTTTGTGTTTATCTGTCTGCACCTCATTCTTCTTTTCCCTCCTTGTTTTTACTCTCCTTACCTGTGTGGCCAGGCTCGGGCATGAGCCCAGAGCACAGTGCCAAGCGCCACTTGGTCAAGAGCGACCCGACTCCATTTGGGTTCAAAGGTATAATGTTGTCTCATTATTCAACAGGGTGTCAGTCTGCCATTTGTCATCTGTCTTTCCAAGCTTTAAACATCCCAGGCTTCTCTTGCTTGGTATGTTGTCATCGTCTTGTGTTCCGTTGATAAGCCCAGTGACTTGCTGGGATGTGTGAACGGATATCCGTCCATTATTAGAGGAGCTGATCCTTCTCCTTATAATTGACATTGTCATGTGTGTAACTTATAGCTGCTATTATCCACAGGTTGTAATCATCATCATCAACATCCTCATCCGGTCATGAGTCTTTTGCAATTTGTGGAGTTTGTTCCTTTTCCATGGAAAATGTCTCTTTTAATTATTGCTGGCTCTTTGTCTTTGTCCAGCCTCTCACATCAGTCTAAGCAAAGTCAAATGGGCGAGCGCCTCTAGTCTGTTACAGAGCAAGCGGCGAGGTACAGAGCAGCCTTCGTGGGCTTTTGCTGTGATTTGCTGTGCTCGTTGTTTGAGTTTGCTCAGTAAAAATGTGGCCCAAATTCAGAGGTCTAGTGTGGATTGTATTTTGGGCTCTTGTTTCAAAAGGCATACTGTTGGCTTCTAACAAATGCTCCACACACATCTCATTCCTGTGTGGCATTCTGTCAATTCTTTCAATTTGCCTTTTTTTTTTCCTAATACACTCCTCTCAAGCTCATGTTGTCTTCTTACAGGCTTGACCAAAGTGTCGCTCTCAGTGGATGCCTCTGAGGAGAATGATGGCTACTCCAGTGGCGAGGAGCCATTGAACTCTGACACTGAGTATGATGCAGTACAGAAGCTGGTGAGAGATGCAAAAACAATTGTCCTATGGCACTTTCAGGATGAACAAAATCATTGTGGGGACACTGGTCGACAGTACATTTGTATGGATTTGTGTGTGTGTGTGTGTGTGTGTGTGTGTGTGTGTGTGTGTGTGTGTGTGTGTGTGTGCGCGAGCGCGTGCGTGCGTGCGTGTTTGTCTGTCACAAAAATCTGGCATTCAAACAGGGGTGTGTAAGTACAGTTTTTCCACTGCTTAACTTTTACAACATGAGATGAAAGCAGTGATGAGGGAGGATATCCGACACCAGCATTAGCCCTGTCAAAGTTCAATTGCGGTCACTTACTCATGTCAGATGAATGAAGTTCCTGTTCTATTTCATTCTATTCTAGTAGCATTATATTCTCTGTTTTCCTGGAATATTTTGGTTGTACTGTACTACAAATTGTATGACCCCAGGGGTGTTCTAATGTAGAGATCCCACTGTATTAGGTGGACAAGTACCTGCTAATTAGCTTTGTAGGTCAAGTGATACTCAAAGTGGTTTGGCTTTTAGATTCCAGGGAGATACACAGTGGTAGCAGACTCCGAGAATGCGGGACCTCAGGAGCTGCCAGTCAAGAGCGGAGATGTGGTGCAGCTCATCAGAGAGGGAGAGGAGGGCCAGTGGTAAAAGTCTTGTTATGCTAGCAGAGTAGAGTGTATTTTTCGCACCTCCACAGCAAATGTGTTGTGATGCAGGTTTGTGAGGAACCTTCGCAGCAGCAAGGAGGGCTGGATGGCACATGCAAACCTACTTGGCTTAATCGCTGAGTCCAAGTCATCTCAGTCACTCAGCAGCTCAGGTCAGGCTAAGTCATCATTTCACACGCTGTGCATTGAATTGTGAGAATGTTTCTTTTCGTCCAGACCATTGCATTCTGAGTTCAAGAGTAATTTGTCCCGCAGATGACAGTGTCTCTGGAAACCTTAGCACTTCCTCCAGCTGCAGTGAAACCTACACCAGCTTCTCAGACATCAAACCCTGACCTATCCACCAGCACCACAGAAAACCAAGTGTTGCGACATCAGCCATCGTCACCAGTGTTTCAGCTGAGTGTTACGTGCTACTGACAGTCTCTATGTGTTCGCCTATGTAGCATTAATGTGGACACGTCTCAAGAATGTCTGCATGAGAGTTTTTTTTTGGGGTGTACCACTGGCAGTGAGTCACAGCGAACACAGTTCAGAAGTGGCATTTAGTGTCCCGTGTTGATCAACATTGTGACCACTGGCAACGAGCTGCTACCAGCATATGCTGCCCTGCAGCTCAAGGGCATAAAGAGTCCTCAAAACGTAAATCCGAATCGGCTTCTCTGAGATTTGCAGCTGTTGCCATGAATATTGAATGCCACACTGCTGGACTCATCAGCACCACCTGGTGGTCAGACCCCTCTTTACCTTCCACCCAGTAATCCGAGAGGATGCGGACCTTGTTCCTTTGAGAGCGCTCCCCGGGCTCGCCTCCCAGCTGCTCCGGATTAACCTCTGAGGCAACACGGGGCCGGCAGGTGTGACTACATTCCAGCTCCACTTGGATTTAAATCTTTAGTGTGCACATTCCTGCACATCTACACGCAAATATGTTTTTCTGAACAAATTGTACATGCTTGCGTCACAGACCCAAAACACCATGTTGAAATGCATAGTACACTCAAGAAATTGTTTCAGATTTTGCTTATCTATTTCCGGTTTGCCCTTACAAACAGGCAATACATAAAAACAGGCTTTGTCCCATTGTGCTGCTCCCAGCCCAACTATGGCATGTGACGGTAGTCACTTCTCTCCAAGCAACTAGACCAAGACCAGCTCAGCTTGTTTGTTCCATCTGCCTCCCAACCATCTACTTTCTTGACTATACAGTCCTGGCATATGCTAGCTGACGGACAGGTGCCAACAAAATATTAATTTATGTTTGAGAGTCACATCAAGAACGGCACTAACATGGGTCCGAAGAAGCTGGTTATGATGCACCTCACCTTTCGGCAAGCGCCGTGAGAAACATAAGGAACCTTTGCTACCATCGACAATGATTCATGCCTCTTACCTTGTTTTATAAGGTCAACCATTTTTTACAACCCTCTATTTTTACTGTCCTCACATGGTTGTTGACCATTCATGTTATGTGACGTGCCTAAATCCATTGCAGCTCACCAATGTAGTAAAATTAGCACCGCCTGTTCATTTCTTGGAACCAGGTTTATTTTCTTGTGACAATTCAATGTGACATTTATCAGCGCTCTGAATAATCCTTGCTGTTTTTGTTGAAAAACATATGAAGCTATTTTTTTTCCTCAGTCCAACGTAATTGTCCAGCACAGAATGCATGTTGTCCCTGTGGAAATGCACAGCAAATCTCAAACTGTGTCTGTGACTGTGTTTTGCTCATTCTAATAGAGAAATGTCAGTCTTGTACTGTATTCTGTCAAATACCTCACCTAATTCTCTACAGCTTGCTAGTCATGAAGAGAATATTTTTTGTTAGTCTCTCCCCCAGAAAACATTTTAGCAGTCATTGTTGTGTATTTGGAGTGTTTATTTTCTGCCCTCATATGAAAGCTGACGCAGGCACACGTCATTAGTGTTTGATCACGGTCACACAATTATTTGTACTGTCAACACGCAGGCTGGAGAGAGATTTTGTTTATATTTTGTACTTTCTTTTTACACTGCACATTACAGCAACCACAGTCTTTATTTTCGTACTGTATATCTACTGATTATGGTATTGATATGAAGCTATTATATCTGTATATTTGTAAATATGTAAGTCTGTATTGTATGTAAAATCAAAAGCAGCTTTAATAAACTCAGATGGTTTCCTTTACTTCTTTTACTTTGTTACTGGAGAAAAGCCATTAATGCCTGTTAACCACACTCATCCATCCATCCATTTAATTTTCCCTTTCATAGCCTGATATCGACTCATAAAAACCATAAATCGACCCTTTTAGAGTAGCCAATCAAAACACGGCAGAAGCACTGAAATCGGCACCAACGAGCTTGAAGGCAGATTTCCGGAAGTTTTTTTTGTTTCAAAAACAAGAAGGCAGCAATGAACCGGACCTTTGTGAGAAGAGTCACAGGAATGTGAATGTCATGGGTTTTCAGTGTGTTTTGCCCCTTTCTTGACACAGCCAGGCCTGTGGTTGGAATTTATTTAAATTATTTGTTTTGATCAGGTCATGTTCAATGAAACATACACGATTTATGTAACTTCATTGGGTTCAATTCTTCATGTAAATATTCGTATGTTACTAATGCACCAAGATAGAGCACGTTTTCTATAATTTGCAGCATTATTTCTTCTGAGAATGTCTTATATTCGAAAGTGCGTCTGAAATGTATCTTTCGCCATGTGATTTGATTTCTTGATGCCAAAAAACGTTTATCGGTTATGTAAAGATGCAAGTTTTGACTGCGTTAAAACTAGTTTTGGGTAACCTAAACATCTTGGTAGCGTATGAAAAATGCGCACGAACGATACGAATTAAGAAATCTTGCAAAAAAAAAAAATCTCAATCCCTTTTACATTGCATTTCCCATGTATCATTACTAATCAGGACAATAAAATAGGCACGACACTAGAAACGGTTTACTGTGAGATAGAGTGCGCGACACCTAGTGCTGTTGGAAGGCACAGCTGCCATCTGAAATCTAACCAGAAGTGACGCGCAACCACAGTTTTAAGTAAATTGTACGACAGTATTGTCAAATCATACTCCATATTACTATTGGCTCAGAACATATTTTGGTTTCATATGGCTTCGAATTTGTTCTCGCTCTTCCAGTCCTTAGGTAAAAGGTTGGCGTTTGGACTGAAAATTCGCTTTTATATGAAACCTTTCAACCGGTTGACACCGGAAGTCGCGTAGTTTGCCCTTCCTAGCTCGACAAAAGGCTGGAGCGTAACCAGATGGAATTCTGCACTGCCTTCCTAACAAATTACTCACATTTTAAATTGTTTCGCACACTTTTTAGCTGGCGGCCCAGTGGACTAACAGCCCTGGCGTGAAAACCGAAGTTCATCAGGACGGCTGTAAAGCGGGACAGAAGCGTGTCGACGCTCAAAGATAGAATCTTCTCACCGTAAGTATCCATTACAGGTTCGTTGCTTGTAATCGCAGTTGGTATGTTTTATTGCCCCTGGTCGTTTTGTGTAAAGTCATTCGGGGTCAGCTCGTGAATGTGGACCTTTCATTTCCAGCAGCTGTTTGTGGTACAATGGAGACAACTGTGATTCGCTTTGGAAATCCGTCCGACAAAAAGCGACTTCAGCCGCAGGGCGAGAGGGGTGTAGCCTTGTCAAATCACACTGTCTGGCAGTGTCCATGTGCGGTCTGTTTCCCAAATGTCTCATAAACAATTACCGATTGACACGCCGTCGGTGTATTGACACCAATCTTAGTTTAAATGCGACGGCTGTTTATTTTCTTTGGCTCCTTTTCAACCCTACTGTTACTTCAGACGTCAGGTGTGAGGTTAAGCACCATGATAACAAAGCAGATTCCGGTTATTTTCAATTTAAAACCCGGAAGATGCTATTTTGCCGTCAATTTATTGACTGCGCAACAGGGAATAGAGGGATCAGCTGTCACAGGGCGACTATGAATGGGGCATTTGCGGGGAGTTGAGCCCAGGCAAGGTGTGTCAAAGGCACCTGTGTGAACAACTACCCTTCCTCTGATTACAATCGTTCGCAATAATCAATTGTGAGAAAGCAGATCGAGTGAAGCCTATTACTTAGCAGTGTGCACTAATACCGCTGTTCTTAAGAGTTTATATTCTTGATGTTATTAACCCCATTTTTATTTAGGACATTCGTTGAAACAGTTAAGAACTGCTCCATTGAAATTGTTGACATTACATTTCTGCATGATTATATTATCTTAAGTATTGATCCATCAATTCTTTATTACCGCTTATATAGTTTGTGAGTCTGGGATCTGGGGCCGGTGCCTGCTGACTTTGGAAGAAAGGCATATTTATGTATGTGTGTATGGATATGGAGGTGTATACACACCGGTCGCCATGGGTGGGCCATTAGAGTCTGTGCCTGCCCACCAAGATATGCCACCCCGTTTAAAGCATATATTTCTAATAATAAACATAAAAACATGTTTTAGTTTATCATAGTAGTTATCTGTCGTTATGAACTGCTATATTAATATAATTTTTACATCGCCAATATAGCAGTAGAGATTAGCCGCTAGCCTGTTAGCCTCGCGCTGTTTATAAACAGTTGGGCAGTGAATGCCTACATTGAGCAACGCTCAGCTTTGTCCTGTACTTAACGATTTTGAAGCCTACTTTCGCTCTTATGCATCGCGTTATTACGGAGCCTCTAAGGCGGGGGTCGGTAACACGTGGCTCTTGAGCCGCATGCGGCTCTTTAGCGCCCCCCAGTGGCTCCCTAGAGCTTTTTCAAAAATGTTTGAAAATGGAAAAAGATGGGAGGGAAATATATTTTTTTGTTTTAATATGGTTTCTGTCAGAGGACAAACATGACACAAACATTCACATTTTCCGATGCTGTAAAAATGTGTCCAATAAATATTAAATGTCAACATTGCGTCAACGAATATTTGTGTCATAGCCTGCGACACACGTTTCTATTAGCAGGACTGGATGCCAGGCAGGTGGCTCTTGTTTAAAAAACAAAAACAGCCTTTCATGCACAATTCACCAAGGGTGCTGGCAAAGAATGGGAATCTGGAGAACAGAGAAAGCATTTTTAAATGGTACACGTGAGCTACGCTAGTTAACACGCTGCAAAGATGCGTTTCATGCCTTGTTCATCTTAGCGGCCGTTATGGCTGTTGCTCATTACGGCATGCGTGCATAAGTGTGTGCGAATGTGCGCGTGTGCGGTAACTGGTCGATCGCGGGAGGTTGGTTGTCAGAAAAGTACATCTTCCGTCAAAAAAGTTTGGGCACCCCTCCTCTACGGGATGAACTGCGGGGGTGGACTTTTAATCATGAATGCTTGTTGTGTATTTGTTGCAAACTTAGTCATGTTGATAGCAGGCTAATATAGCTCATATAGATACATACAGCATGTGTTGCCTTCATTATAAGGCTTTTTATCTTTTGCATCTCCAGACATATTTGTTTTTTGTTTATTTTGGTCCAATATAGCTCTTTCAACATTTTGGGTTGACAACCCCTGCTCTAAGGTGACATGGAAGAAAAAACAACTTTGCGTTTCCTCGCAAAGATTGCGAGATAACACAAACTTTTTTTTTTGCAAGGTTTGCTTTTTTTATATGCGCTTCATGTACTTCATGTACATGTCTTGACCGCAAGGAGGATTCCAAGTCCACGTCCATGATTCTCTCCTTTCTCTGAGTAGTGTCATCTCTCACTCAACCGTGGATGAGAATCTACAATCGCCAAACGGACCTGGAAGAACTTAAACGCACGTATTGATATGTGCGTGGGAACATCAAAAAACTTTTGAACTTGGCTGTGCTCATTTATTATTCTTGGAACCGACCCATCGTGATCAACCAGTCATTCTCAAAGTTTTTACACTCAGCATTACTAAAAAAACAAAAAAAAACCCCTTTGCTTTCCAAGTACCACCATCATGGCTAATATTAAAATACAACAGTGTAATAATCCTAAGTGTTCATCAGAAATGAGGTTGTGTTGTTATTATTTACTGTGGTAGTGCCGCAATTTACAACATTTTAAGATCTACAACATTTTAAGATCATGAGGTATGAGGTGTCGCACAACCCATGACAGCTGGGATAGGCTCCAGCACACCCTCGTTAGTCTCAGTCTCTTTCTCCTCACAGATTTACTCCAATGCATGATTTTGCTTATCTAATGATGCAAATACATCTATGTGACATAATGTGTTTATTTGCATTGTTTGAGCAGAAGAGGTTGGGTGTATACGTCATCTATAAGTGTATTTTTAAAAAAATGTGAGGCCGGCATTGACTAGTTATATGTGATCTGTATGTTTACGCTGCAATCGCTTTGGGATTTATCTGATATGTTTTCTCCTAGTCTAGTGGATGTTCATCCACATTTGGAAGAGACCTGCTTCCAATCTAAGGAGATCTGATCCAATCTGGGGTTTTTTTCTCATTCCGCTGCTATGGCGCATATCCCAATCGAGAAACTTGACAGCGACAAATACGACTTGTCATGCGATATTAATCCAGCCTCAAGGGTTGAAGTCCCGGTGTCTTGACTCTGCAGAGAGATGTTCAAATAGTGGGAGCTTTGACTTGCTCGATGACACTCCAGCATTGCTCAGGAACTGAGCGATTTTGAGAGGTCTTGCATAAGCACGGAGGAGCCTGCTTTGACATATTTTGTGAAACAAACGACCACTTCTCCTGTGCTCCTGGCTTGCGTGAGTTTGCATTGGCAACACCCACTGCCGCATCAGTCCTTCTCTTGAGTGAACAGTCCCTTCGTCACCATTCACACATACCTGCCTCAAACTAAAAATATGTCGATGAAGTGACTGTATGGTGCAGGCACAGTACAATAGTGTGTTGTTTAGAAAAGTAACTCCACTACAAGCCTTCATTGTGTCACGGTTTTGCCCCAAATCTGCCGCAACGTTTCAAGAAAAGCTTGCCTTGCAGACTGCTCTAAGGGCACAAAGCTTCTCTTTTCTTTCTTATTATTGCTGATGTTTTTTTTTAAATTGTGTTCACTTGTACATGCTCATTTGGTGCACTGCGCTTAGACTAATGTCTATCTCAAGTGAGGTGTCATCAAATACTGGCTGCCATAGTGCTGAGGTGCCTGAACTGACGCTCTCTATTAATTTGAGACGGCAGCCCAATTCTGTTTGTGCATGCTTGAATCTTCACATATGACCGGTCCATATTGACTGCACGTGCCTTATGTATGTCCAAATGCAGAGGTGGGCATTTTACAGGAGTTTGCCGGTCCGTCGTTCGTCATCCGTCAGCTTCCTGGGTATCTGTCCGTCCTCATCAGTCAATCTTTTTTTTTTTTTTTTTTTCAACTCGAACCAGACTGTAGTCGTCAATCCGTCGTGTTATTTTAACCGTGCTTCCGTCTGTAAATTTCACCGGTCTATCGGTTAGTCGGTAAATGGACCAAGAGGTCCGTCGGTACTTGCGTTTTCCGCCGTTTGTAAATCGCCTGCACAATGGGTGCTTGTCAGCGACAGATTGACAGTCCTTCTGTCAGTACTGATGAAATGCCCACCCCTGGGCTAAATGTTTCAGATATGTGGGCTCATTTCAGTTACACATAGCAGCTTCCCCACTCGTGACCAGATGAGGTCCATTGCGTAATACTTGGTCTGATTTCCCAAGTAGAAAAGAAGACAGAGAGAAACCAAAGAAGAAGCTTTGTACAAGTCTACTCTTTGGTGGTTTCCTTTGTGTGGCTTTTGGTGACCAGGTGGATCAGATGGGTTTTTTTCCCAACAAAAATCCAATTTGTTTTTTTTTAATTGCTTCTTAAATAAGAAAAGCAAATGAAAAATACAGTGTTGAAAATAAACATTTTTTTCTCCCTTCTGGGATCTGCCTCATCTGTGCTGATACCAAACTTGCTTTGAAACATTTTTTTCCTGCAATTTTTTTTTAATGGCATTAACTTCCCCAGAAATACCGAAAAAAAAAAAAACCGTGAGAATACGGTAAATGCTTCCTCTTGGGGAATGTCTTTATTTTCTCAAAACATATACCGGTACTTTCTGTAAACACAATCCTGAAAAAAAGCATTTTAAATGTTCAACAATTTAATTCACAAAATGAACCGTCAATTTGCATGCCCCGCTTGTGTAACAACGCATCCCCCTCCAGCTCTCACTGTCTTTTATGCAAAGTTTTACAGAAGAGTTAAGGTGACTTTGGCATTTTGGGTTGTTGGGCTAGTTCAATAATTGTGTCAAAGAGACCAGTCACGATCGGAGATCACGTTGACCAACACTTTCAAGTTTAAGACCGATGGACCATAAGCAAGAATTCCATCTGAAGTGTGTCCTTGTTCACGGGTTGGGCTGTCACAAAGTTGCCACAAGATGGTTCCAAAGACAAAACCTTTGTGTTCGAATTTTTGCCTGGGCACCAAACTGCAAATAGTTAGTTTTTCCATAAACAATATAGGCTTGGTGCCCAAATAACTGCAAACAGGTGAATCGTGACTATGTTGAGAAGTACTGTTGCATACATGGCCAACACACAGATGCAATGCACACTGATTCTGTTTTAGTGCTTTTGACGTCCAAGTGCTTTTGTGTGTGCAGCATGTCTCTTCTCCCCACATGAACGGCACGCGTTACATCTTGACCAGTCCGACACATTGAGGCTGGAATGTCAGTCTAACAAGCTTACATGATGACCTCTTCTGTGAAGGCAGCCGTGTGTCAGAAGCTCAGCTCGTTGCTCAGTGGGTTCTGGAATGTATCTCTCAGGTGCTGAAGGAATGTGCAGTCGCCCTGACAACCGGCATACAGAGGGCCGAGTTAGCTTTGACTCTTATCTTTTTGGCTGATGTTGCAGTTCGTCACCGCGCAAACGGAAGTGGTTCAGTCTTAAGTGGCTTTAGCAATGGAAGGTCAGAAGACCCACGCTAAACTACTCTGTGGAAACTGGGACTGGCTGATTGGTTTGCGGAAAATGTTCTGGGAAGAAAACATGCCTCTAAAATAAAACTTTTGAGGTCTGTTCAATCTATCCTCATGCGTGACATCACACAAGATGCTTCCTCAGTTAGCACCAGCCCCAGCAAACAACATTTAAAGGTCATGATTGGAACGCCGTGTCAAAATCCATGGTCGTGTGGCACAAGAAGGCACACGACTTAAACTATTCCACAATGATGTTCAGAGCACGACATCGACTAGACCAGGAGCGCGCAACCTTTTTTGACTGAAGACCTACTTTTCGATCAACCTTTCTCGCGCGATCGACCCGTCACTGCACACGCGCGCATACGCATGCACTTTCACGCGCATGCACTGATGAGCAACAGCCATCAGATGAACGAAACCGAAAAATAAAGTAGACACAAGAGTGTGTGGGTTTGTGTAAAGGAAATCACGGCCTACCTTCGTCGAGACGTGACGTGGAGGCACGGGACACAGTTTTGCAGCGTTAACTATCGTAGCTCATGTGTACTGTTTTAAAATGCTTCTCTCGGCTCTCCAGATTCCCATTCTTGACTCGACGCTCCCACGTCTCTGTGCGGCTTACAGCAATCGATGAGTCCACTGAATGAAATGAGTCTCTCCTCAACTTAATGAATGTAAATTGTCTTTTCTTTCTGAATGTGCAGCTTTGGTAAGTGAGGTAGAACCATTAATGAAGAAAAAAAAGCCGGTCTCTAGCAGGCTCCTGAACATTTTTTGGCCCACACTATCAAGGTGGAAGGAGAGCGGGGAATATTCCAACACACGTGATTATTTGCAAACACCGGTCCGCAATTTCCCACCATGCAGAATCTGCTGCTGTGGTGAGCCCAGAAACAAAACAAATGAAAACCAAAAATATTTGTGAAAATAACCATTTTCAGCATATTCAAATAAATTATGTGATGCCCCAAAACACGAGTGATTTAGTTTTTGAAATGCCAGCTGTCATGAGCAAGATGATGTTGCTTTTTTTTTTCCAAACAATTATTCAAATTTAACGAGGCTTCAAATGATTTCATATCACTCGCAAATGAAATTTACTGCTTGACTTAACTCTAGTCCGATAGCTTAATGCTAACGCTAACACATAATACATATTTTAAGTGACTGAAATTCAAACACAACTGGTGCAGCAAAACACACTCAATGCAATATTACTAAAAGTAATATACTGTAATCTTTATCCTCTGCGAGGAGCAGCGACATCAAGATAGCCATCCAAACCGAACCCTCAAGGATACACCTATTGTACCCCTTAAACATGGTACATATTTGGACCCTTACAAGTTGTATCGTTTGTAGGCAAATATGTACCTTCGAGGCTACATATTTGTACTGTATTTACTTTTCTATTACAACTAATACTTGAGCAGAGCGGTACTCGCTAATGTCATTTGCGACTGAAAAAAGTATGTTCTTTAGAAGGTTCTTGTGTAAAATTTTCACCCCCACCCCAGATGGTGGTGGCTATATTTAGCCCATGGCCTACTGAAGAACAAAACATGGACCATGCAGTAGCCCTTTTGTTTTTATTTATTTATTTTTTTTTAGACAGCGGACTACTGTTCAGATGTCCATATAGGGCGTGGGGGGGAACAACAGATACCATTTCCATTTATTTCAAGGGAGAATGTTGATTTGAGATATGAGTGCTTTGAGTTACAAGTGTGACCGCGGAACGGATTCAACTCTTATTTCCAGGCACCATGTATGGCGTTTCGTGCGAGTTGAAAACGTGCCCTTCGTTGATCGGAAGCTTTATCCGCTTTTCCCCAGCACTTGAGGCGAGTGTGCGGACATCATGCCTCTCTTTGGTAAATCCCACAAGACCCCGGTAGAGATCGTCAAGACCCTCAAGGAGAACTTGGCCGTGCTGGTTAAACAGGACAAAAAAACAGACAAGGTAGGTGCAGGCCAGTGTGGCAGCCATTTGTGAATCTGTGGCTCCACCCTCACACTTGAAGTTCCATTCAAGCACCTCCTCCTGCTCTATCCTGCAGGCATCTGAGGAGGTGTCCAAGTGTCTGGTGTCCATGAAAGAGATTCTATATGGGAGCAACGATAAGGAGCCTCACACAGAGACGGTGGCCCAGTTGGCCCAAGAGCTCTACAACAGCGGCCTGCTGATCACGCTGGTGGAAAACCTGCAGGTCATTGACTTTGAGGTGAGAAAAGATGCAGGCTACGGCTCCCGGCCGACAAAGCGAGAGCCCGATGCTCGCTTCAGTCTGATTTGATTCATGTGCTCCCAGGGCAAGAAGGACGTCTGTCAGATCTTTAATAACATCTTGAGGAGGCAGATTGGAACCAGGAGCCCCACCGTGGAGTACTTTTGCTCCCATCAAGAGGTTCTCTTTATCCTGTTGAAAGGGTCGGTCGCTCTCACTCTCTGTCTTACGCGCGCACAAACCACACAAAGCCCGGGCCTCCTTGAGTGGCCTCCGGGGACTCATGTCCACGTTGGTTTTCAAGGTACGAGGCACCCCAGGTGGCGCTCAACTGTGGGATCATGCTGAGGGAGTGCATCCGCTACGAGCCGCTTGCCAAGATGGTTCTGTATTCGGATCATTTCCATCGATTCTTCGGCTATGTCGAGATGTCCACCTTCGACATTGCCTCTGATGCCTTTGCCACCTTCAAGGTACCCCAGGCCTTCCCTAAAGTCAATTCACTGGCATTCATGTCGAGTCGCTCACTTAGAGCAAAAGTCGAAGTCCGTTTGTTGTCTTGTTTTTGCTCGCAGGATCTCCTGACGAGGCATAAAGTGCTTGTAGCGGAGTATCTCGAACAGAACTACGATGCGGTGAGTGATTGTGCGCCAGCCCCTTTCCGCGGAGAATGTTTTGGCGCGAAATGTGACCTGCGTTGAACTTTTGTGTCGCCGCAGGTGTTTGCAGACTACGAGAAGCTTCTGCACTCAGAGAACTATGTCACCAAGAGGCAGTCGCTCAAGGTTGGTATTCTAGCCGTCGGTGGCGCGAGCCAGTCGTCGTGGCCGCTGCAGGTCGTTATGTGACGCGCTGGCCTCTCCTGCAGCTTTTGGGCGAGCTATTGCTAGACCGACACAACTTCACGGTGATGACGCGCTACATCAGCAAGCCGGAAAATCTCAAGATGATGATGAACCTGCTAAGGGACAAGAGTGCCAACATCCAGTTTGAGGCCTTCCATGTCTTCAAGGTATGGATCTATTCAGGGAGAAGTGGTCCTCTGAAGCCGGGCACACATATAACAATTTTCAACATCTTATTCTTGAAAATGTGAGGGAACCCACACTAGATAAGGAAAAAGTGCGTGCACACTGCGCGTATGGTGTGCGGTGTACTCCAGACGACCCACACAACACACCACATGTATGATAGCTCTAGAGACGAATATAAGTCTCTTCAACGCTGACTGGTAAAAGCCAACGCAGCGCCGTGGGGCATCTGGAAGATACAAAGAGCAGTTCTAAGACACAGACGTGGTGATCATCCATCCATCCATCCATTTTCTAATCCGCTTATTCTCACAACGGTTGCAGGCCGTGCTGGAGCCTATCCCAGCTGTCTCAGGGCAGTAGGCAGGGGACACCCTGAACCGGTTGCCAGCCAATCGCAGGATAGATGATCATGCTTTTGTTATATTAGAGGCACTGCTGCTACTTTGCTGCGCTAAATGACCACCTGTAATTTCGGATGTCAGCGAGGCGTCTTTGTTGTAAATGGCAAAGCACATTATTGGCAATAAAATGCAAAATGCAAGCTGTAGTCGTCAATTGTGTCTCACGTTGACAAAATACACATAGAACTGAGGCGGACACGCTAGCCACATGCACTAGATAACCACATCAAAGTAAAACAGAGACCAGATTGAATGAGTCAGACATGAGGCTGTTCATTGTAAAGTACTTAAATTCGAATGTTTGAATGCGAGTCTGTTTGTGCCGAGTTCCCCGTTTGATGCCCGCTTGAGGAACAGAGGAATATACTGTCACTACTCGTGACGTCATGCATGATGTAGTTTGTCTTTTTTTAATGTCAGGACCATTTTCCTTTGGGAAAAGTTGCGTTCAAAAGGTGTGCGTCTATGCTCATCCGCAGGTGTTTGTGGCCAACCCCAACAAGACACAGCCGATTGTTGACATTCTGCTCAAGAACCAGTCCAAGTTGATTGACTTCCTGAGCAACTTCCAGAAGGACCGCACGGACGATGAGCAGTTCAACGACGAGAAAACCTACCTTATCAAACAGATCAGGGATCTTAAGAAACCAGCGTCCTAGAGAAGCCCCTCCACCCTCTAGTTCAATTGTTTATCAATAGGAAGTTGTAGGAAAAAAACAAGCTATTTAAACAAAAAAAAAAAGGTATTTGTATTTTTCTTTTTTTGCTTCACAAAAAATGTGTGCAAGAATAGTTTCTCAATCACTCACCTTTTGTAATTGTTTTTTTTTCTCTCAATGATTAGTATGTAGCAGTGCCACGACTCATTTGGTTGGCAGCATCTGATTGGCTGAGTGGGCAACACCAGCAGTTAAAATGCCAGGAATGGCATTGCTGCACAATATTAGTCTCACCCCTCAACACTTAGTTGGTCATACAAAGTTTGGTTACGGAGTCAAAACTGAACTAAACAAATGTCCCGTGTAAAGGATGCGTTTCACTGCTTTAACAGCCCGTGGGCACGATCCTGTGAATGAACGTCAGATGTTGCCAACAGTGATGACTCTTGATTTTGAAATGAAGGGCGTGTAATTGGGCTATCAACTAATTCTTCTCACTGCACCTCATAGCACTTTCTGTATTTTATAAATGGTTGTCTGGGCTAATCAATGTGTTCATGCTGTTCTGTGTATTTATACTATGGTGCAGAGACTGAGTGACAAGTGGTCTTTGCTTTGTTTGGGTCCGATTCAGATGAGTGGAAGATTCAGAAGTGCCATTTTAGTTTGCGGTGTTTTTCTATTTTGTTTACTTGTATCTTTGAAGGGGAAGCATACTTGTCAAAGCAATCTGCTCTGGACTGGAATTTTGATGTGATTAGGCAGTATGCAGCTGCTTTGGCCAACAGTTTGGGATTACAGTGGAGTGGCAACCGTGGAAACCCACAAGGACTCCAAAATGTGCAAAATCTTACAACATCAAAAGTTGGTTTAAAAATGACAAATTGCATCTCACGCACACAAAACTTAAGCTTTAATGAGTCGTTCATTTCCCTGTGGATGTTTGACCAAGTCTTGTCCGCATTCTGGATCTCGTTGCTAGCTTTTCATCTCGTACGAGATGCAGCTAGCTTCATTGTGTACTATACCGAGAATGAATATAAGGATGGAAACTCAATCTCTGTACTTTCATTTGTCACAAGGTTTGCAGGCAGGCAGGCAGCCTCAAGTTACACCAGGCTGACTAAAGCCTCGTGATTAAAGCATTCTTATCAGCCAAGTGGAAGTTGGGAATTCTTGACTGAATTTAAAAGCGGTGGAATCAAGCTGCATCTGTTGGCGCTATGTCGCATTCGTGCATATCCTATTTATTACAAACAGAATGACAAAAATCACAACCATCATTAGTCCATTAAAATACATAACCCTGGACATTAACTAGGAATCACACATACATCTAAAACAACTCAATACAGTGATCCCTCGCTCTAACGCGGTTCACTTTCCGGGGCTTCGCTGTCTCACGGATTTTTTTTAGTGCAGTTTTTAACGCTTTTAACCCTTTGAATCAACGTGTCGGCGGCGCCGCGTGTCGACAGTACAGTATTTCCAAAAACTATTGTAGTTATTTGTTGAAAACGTTTTTGTTTTTTTTTTGTAATTGGGCGTGAAAACAGGTTTTGGTCTTTGATTTCGTTGTATATATAGTTAAGTATTGTATAATAACTGTTAAAAAAATAAAGTTCACTACTTCACGGATTTCACTTATCACTGGTTCTTTTTGGAACGTAACCCCCATGATAAACGAGGGATTACTGTACTTACATAATGACAACCACAACCCACATTAGGGTTATACAGTATCTTCAATGTACTCTAAACTGCTGCTGAGCGATGAGGTCAGTGTGGTCAGCTCAGTTTTCGTGTGTCTCGATGCTGATCCAAGTGGCGTACACGCAAATCTTTGGAAGATTTACGCTGCCAGTTCAGTTCCAATGTGCACATGCGGTGCCACTGTTCGGGGGGCTGACGCTCAGCTGACGGGGGGCAAGTTATTAGATCTGCTGTCGCGGAGCTTCTTGATGCTGTGCTTCTCCTGCGTCTCTTCCCTGTTGCGCTTGCTACTGTGACCATCTGGAAGCCAAGATGCGATATTAGACGTTAGGCGGGTTACAAGTAGATCATTGACATTTTACAAGACGGCGCTTACTGGTGATGTTCAAAGGAGATGCAACAGGGTCCCTTTGCCACTGTGGAAACAAGACAGTTGCTTTACAAATAAAATACAATCCAAATTCAACATTTTTTCAAGCCCTAAAAATTCTTCATAAAATGCTGAATGAACATTGATGATGCAAGAACACATTGCCCCACATTTGGGGAACTGTCAGCTATCTGCTCAACCAAAGACTTCCTGTTCTAGAAGGGCAGACCCGAGAGAAAAAAATAAAAAATAAACTGCCAACAGGAGCAATTAACAGCATTAAAAATATACTGCTTGTGCAACGACACAATATGAAAAGCAAAAATAACTTCCAATAAAACAGCTCGTGGATTTGAGTAAATCAAAATGAAAAATGAATGAACAGGAAACATGCAGGTCAAGGCCGTGGGTTAAAAACAAATATATTAAGAAATGTATGTTTTCCTCTGCATTCAAGAGCGAGACAGGGACCGGACAATTTATGGCATATACCTTTATGGCATATACAGAAAATGTTTAACTGTTAGGGGAATCCTGAGTATGCCAAATGGCAGTATTCAGCTTCTGGACTTATCCAGGGCGCAGCAAAAACAAAAGATATTTTTTTAAAAAAAGGAGGAAAACAGATCAGTTTGCTCACGATGAACTTTTGGATTCCCTTCAAGTTGCTGAATCGGAGGTAAGAAATGTCTCCTTTGTTCCTGTCACGGTCGTGGTCGGTGGTGTAAATGTGCGTGATGCCTGCACTTCTAATCAGAGGGATGCACTCGTCACATGGACACTTCGTCACAAACAGCATGGCGGCTTCCTCCGGGTTGATATCGCGAGTCCTAGAAACATCAGAGCCGTCAAACTGCTGTCGAGCGGAGCAACGTGACCGCCGCCTGGTCGATACCTGAAGGTGAGGGCATTCTGCTCAGCGTGGATAATGTAGCGGTACTTGCGCCGCTTTCGGTCCTCCTGTTTGTCATCCATGAGTGGGTACTCGGCGTACTGCGAGCCCGCTGGGTAAGCATTGTAGCCACAACCCACCAGGGACAGACGACCGAGTCCATTAAGGCCAGCCTGGGACAGGAGAGGGACACCTTTTTTCTTCCGCACATGCTTGTGAGATCAATTCTGTGGCAAAGTCCAAACGACAGCAAAAAAACAAGAAGTGAACTTACCAACCGTCTGCTGGCCCAGACAACGGCGCCAACACCTACTTTAGGGTCCTCTGAAATGATAAATAGAAAAAAGGTTCCAGGATACAATTTGAAAACAATATTAAAGGGGATACAGTATGGAAAATATAATTTTATGTCTAAAAATGTGCCTGAAGTGCCTGCCCACCATCAAGTGTGAATTTCAACAAGTAAAAAAAAATCTCTAAAAAGCGAGAAAAGTAATGCGCTGTATTTTCTTTAATCCTTGGGGAAATTTGACAAAAATAATAAGATACCTGTTTCGAGATGTTCAAAAATGCATACGCATTCGTAATTCTTTCAATGCCAGCCGTAAAAAAAAAAAAAAAAAAAATTATCAAGTGCCAGCCAATTTACAGCATTTTGTAAACAGAAAACTGTCAAATGAAAGATGAAATTCCATTCTTTCATCACACAAAAAGGTGCTTTCTACCTTATTCCATTTTTTAGTAATCAGCAGTTTCACCTAAATCACCAATTTTTGGGGGGAAAAAACCCAACCCTTTTGTGAAAAGATATCTATTTTATGCACAACAGTGACTTTGATGCTAATAATTTTTGCTTGAGTGTCACCGCATCTGAACAATCCTTTTCCGAAAATACCAACAATTAAATGTGCTTTTGATGGCAGAATAATGTATTTAGAAATTTCACCAGTGTAACACCATTTGACAATTTTTTTTTTTTTACAGATTGTTTGCACACTATTTATCATAGTGGTGAGTAGCATGCGTGCATGCATACGTCCCATCAATGTTACTCCTTCTAAATTCAAATACAGTAATCACCGTCATCGTTTCTTCACTTTGTGACTCTGCAGTAGATTTAAACATTGACAGACACTTTGCACAATCAGAAGCTGCCGTTTAACGATCTCATTTCCAAGGGTCCGCCCGCCATGTTTCAGGAGCTCACACATTGTGACGTATGGTGAGCTCATCTAAAGGACATCCAAAGTTGCCATTTACTGTCGATAGTTAGTTTTTTTTTTCTTTACTTTCCGAGCTAAATTATGAAACCAGAGTTGGCCAGAACTTTTCTTCACCCATTCCCATTACAAAAAAAAAAAAAACGTAGTTGACAGCAATTTGACATCGACTGCGCTCGTTACGATTCCAATTGATGGCATTTCACTTCTACGGCGCTCAAAGAGTTGAGCTGTAGCGACTCTGAGCAGACCTGTTCTGTAAGCAAGTAGCCTGGCTTGGATGATGCAATGACGGGCGACTTCTTGGGACACTCCCTCATGATGAGGGGGCGACGCCGAGCTGGTGAGTAATGTCTCAGGGGCCGCAGGTTCCCTGTTGCAGACACACCAAAATTCTTTAAAAAATTCATAATACAAGGGCGGTTTACAGAGCAAGTCTCACCGGTGAAATCCGCAGTGTTGTTGTGGCACCCCAGCCACCACGGCAGCCAGAACTTTCACCACCTGCCTCATGTTGTGTCGGAGGTTGGAAAAGTAGGGCTCCACGCAGAAGTTCTCCAGATGCATTTGGTTCAAAATCTCTCGGTGCTGATGGCAGTCCTCAATCAGGAAGCGTTTGGAGAAATCTTCAAAGTGTTTCTCTTGTTCACTAAGGAACAGCCCAAATCATTCTCGTCATTCTAGGTGGACTGCTTTATCTGAACTGAATGGCAGCAAAGAAAAAAAAAAGGCATGTTCAAACACCTGCAGAAGACTTCCTCTGTGTTCAGGCCGGGGTCATCATCGGTCAGCGTCGCCATGAAATCACACTCTCTGGACGTCTCGCCAACAAACTGCACCATGCCAGTTGCCAGAGGTTGCAGTAGCAAGCAGATGTGCGAGCGGCTGTTGGACTTGAGCTTCTCTGTAGCCACAGCGTCTAGCGTGGCTTCCTCGGAGATCTGGCCCGCAGGAGCGTGGGGGCCGGATCTCAGCATGCTGACCTCGGGGTCTCCAGGCCAAAAGGAGATCTGACTCACTCCAGCTGCAAACACAATCCACTGAATTGATGTCAACATTAAATCACGGCGGGATCGACACCCTGAAGACACTTGATTAATTACTCAAACTAATGACAGCTCTGCACACCATTGATGATCATCTTCAAGCAGGTGGCACATGGTCGCCGAGAGAAGTACAGCTGACAGTCGGCCAAGCGGGCAGCGTGTTGGATTATGGCTGCTTGGCCCGCGTGGAGCTCATGACCACTATAGTGGAGCCCCACCACCTTACTCTCCCGCACCACCACGAGACCCACGCTGCGGATCTAGAACAACGCGGGTCAGACGAAACTACTACTGAAATGTGAACGATCAGCTGCTATGTTTACACCAACCGGATTGTTGTTGTCCTCTGGTCGCTCTTGAGGGAACAGCTCCAGCCACAAACTCAACAAGCTAAACAGGTTGATCTTGGAGAACCTGGGGCCAAGACCTGCACCATAAAAACACAATCATACATATTGCTGCTCTTTTTAGTTCGTCGATTGGCAATCGAGCCCAACCTTGCACTACGCTGATGGTCTGACTGCTGGAGTCTCTTGTGAGAGGCAATGCCTGGCCTGATTCGGCTGGACTCTCTCTGCAGCTTTCTTCCATCCAATCAACGTACCGCAGAAGTCGGCCACGGAGTACCTATCGTGACCAGTAGTGCCTCGGGCGGTCCCCTCAGACTTCCCCACTCGGGTTCCTCGACCTCAACGGAAAGCGAAAGGCGTAGCGGTCCCGTAGTTGTAGAATGTTATAAACACTCGAAAGTACCCGAGTGCCAACCAAGCGTCTACAAACACGTTGCTGTCACGTTTCATGCATGAAACGGAGTTTCACTCAATTGCTATCTGTGGTCCGTATTTCTTGCTAGCACTAACTTAGACAGTCCAACACTTTGCTAGGCAAAGGTCGGAAGAACGTACGATGGCCGTTTCGTGCGCTCACCGTCGTTTAATTCGGTCTCCGCGACCAGGACGAGCGTTCTTACAGAGGGCTTTTCGTATCTGACGTTAAACACGACGTACTGCTTTTGGTCTTTCTGCGTTTGCACAAGAACACTGATACGTTTCTTGATCACCGGGTGACTTCCGCAAATAAGGAATGACGTAATCACGTGGGCGTGTTAACGCCCATCACTAATAAAAAATCTGCTGCAGTGTGTGCGCGCGCGCGCGCAGACACAGACACACAGACACACGAACACGCGTGCGCGCGCATAAACGCGCACACGCACTTACAGTCACAAAATGTGCTCCGAAGATAATGGCGTTTCGTTCCCTTTCGGCTAGTTCCGCTAGGGGTCCCCAGAGCGTGTCATCCTTTTCGATCAGTCTAGCTTCTGCATCCTCCTGACAACGCCAAGCACTCATGTCTTCGCTCACATCATCTGTCAACACTTCGGATGGATTGCACCAACAATGTTTTACTTCAAAACAAGATTAATTTACGATTTGAATTGAAATCCTGTTGCACCAAACCTGATACCTCGTTTAAATTCAAGTCAGAATAAATTTAAACCTCTTTATACCTCAGTTTAATTTCTACCCTGAAGTTAAGTTTGCATTTACAGAGCCAATGGCAATGAAGTTGGGATTTTGCGTTGAACATAAAAACTGGAAAATCACAGTCAACCTATATTTAACTGAATACACTACAAAGATAGGGCGCCATGGTGGACGATTGGTTAGCACGTCACCCTCACAGCACAAAGGTGCAGAGTTCGATTCCAGCTCCGGCCTTCCTGTGTGGAGTTTGCATGTTGTCCCTATGCCTGCGGGGGCATAGCAGGTGAATGGAACACTAAATTGTCCCTAGGTGTGATTGTGAGTGCGAATGATTGTTCGTCAATGTGTGCCCTGCAGTTGGCTGGCAACCTAAGGGTGTCTGAAGAACTGCCTGAAGACAGCTGGGATAGGCTCCAGCACACCCGCAGCCCTTGTGAGGATAAGCGGATTAGAAAATGGATGGACTACAAAGACAAAATGTTTCATGTTCAAACTGATAAACCTTGTTTTTGTTTTGCATAATTAAGTTTGAATTTTGCGCCTGCAATATGTTCCAAAAAGAGACTGAGAAAGTCTAAAGAAATTAATTCACATTTAATAGGCCTACAAGGAAAATACTTTAAAGTGCAAAGTGTGCTACTGACCATAATGGAAGATATGAAGACTGCTGGTAGTTAGTATTGTAATGGTGCAAAAAGTCCAACTTCAATGGCGTGTTATCACTACAACTTTTATTGGTTGGTAAGTGTGCATCTAAACTTAGGATATGTGAGGGCCACAGATGTTCACAAAACAGGCCAAAAGGAATTCATATTACTTAAAAATATTGTATATATAGCAAAAATATAACTTCAAAAAACAATACCTGTATATAACAATATCTATAAAATCCGATTTGTCTCAAATTAAAATTCAAATATCACACAGTCCACCAAACGAGCTTGCAACAATGAATCACAGGCTGTTGCTTGCCATCAAACCATGGCATGTTCTCGCAATGAGTACAGCCATAGCAAACAGTACGTGTACTATTACCTAGCGCATTATTCGGCAACCCGCGGCTCTGGAGCCACATGCGGCTCCTCCATCCTTATGGTGCGGCTCTGCGTGGCTTTGGAAAATAAATGATAAGTGTCGGATTGAAGAATATGCTGTGTGTCTCAAAAACGTGAATCAGTCTTTTAAAGTGATTACTAGTACATGTTCTCTGACTACACACTAGGTGTCAGTGTTGCTATAAAAATACTGTCGAGATTTATTAAAAAAAAAAAGCAGAGGAGTTCAGTAATGGCGACTATAACAAGTTGTACGAACTGGTGTTGTGCTGTAAATAGCCTGTTAAGAACATATTTTGTTTGGCTACACTCTGGCCTTGTTTTGCCTCCCGACACAACTTCTTTCTTCAGATCTTGAGCAATTTCAGGGATCAGCATTTGCCTGCTTTTGAGTCGTTTGCGAGCACTTGACATATCAGCAGGCAGATTTGGAAGCCCAGCGACACCAAAACTGCACAGTCTCTGAACAAACTACTGGTATTTTATTTATGCTTGTTCGTTTGTTGAATATTAAAATTATTTCTATATTGTATTATTTTTCGCTGCTCTCCATCTCATTAAAAAATATTGCCGGTCAAGAAAGTCTTCCTTGATCAGTCCTAGTCCAGATGAATGTTTTGAATCTTTTTAATGCTCAGGTATGGATGATCTTTCCAACTTTGTCACCTGCGGTACAGTCTGGATCAAATCCTTTTCGACCAAAAAGATGAAGACACTTAGCCTAGTTGTAGACATGTATGGTTAAACAGTATGCTTAGGAGGCAAGCTAGCCAGGTATCTGCCCAGAAGAAGAACGTAAACTTTTGTGCTCCCACAGCTTGACCAATGTAGTTCTGCCTGCCACAGTGTAGAGGCAGAATACCAACTGCCTCCCCTTGCTACTCCTCATATACAGTATAGCATTACAACTACTCATAATATTGTACCTTTAAAAAATTATGACTTGAGTTTGTCCTATCAGGGGGTCGTCACAGCAAGTCCCTTGCATGGTTTATGCATCAAATGTACAAGTTTCACCATTGTCAAATAGGAATCTTTTTCTTTTCTCAAATAGATAACTTTTCCTTCAAACATGCATTTTTTTAATCACAACAAAAGAGTTTTACTCAAAATATAGAAATTACAAAAATTACAGATTTAATCCTGTATTTGCCATTCAGTGCCCTAATAGTCTTTCATAGCTTTTAAACATTATCAGAGGACTTGATTTTGACTCAAATTGGGGTCGTTGGGATTTTCTCACAACAAGAACTACCAGAAGACAAACTAGGGAAAAAAGTCACTTACTTTTGCTGAGTGGAGGTTTAAAGCTTCATAACATACATCAAATACTTCTTTATTTTGGGTCAAAGAGAAACAACATTTAATTTCCACTACAGCGGTCATGTGTTCTGGGCTAAATGCTTTAAACAGCGTACTGTTGAAGTTTAAAAACATATCCCACATCAGAATGATCCCATACACTGACACAAAAGTGAAATAAATGTTTGGTTTTCTTGGCCAAGACAAAAAGTCCGACTGGCAGACTGTGGTCAGCATAAAAGTCCTGCACACATCTCAAGTGCCACTGGGCGGCTCATCCAGCATTAAAAAAAAAAAAACCATAACTGAGAGGGACTTAGTACCTGAAGGCTCCACAATAGCTTGCTCTGATGATGAACCCTTTCAGCATGTTTCCGTCAACTTGACTGAAGGTTGGTGTCTGAGTCACCTGAGTCAGATGGCTAATACAAAATCTGAAGCAAAACTCCTCCAAGTCCTAGAAATGAAGAGCAAAGTAGAGTTTTGGAGCTTCACCACAGCCAAATAAAGCTCTCTGTACACGAGGTGTCGCCTTCTGCTATGGTCAAAATCGGATATGTATTCGTACAAGTGGCGCTTGTCAGAGTCATTCTTTAAAAGAATCAAATCAACTAACAGCAATAGAAATGTCCACCCCGGTATATTGTACCTCTGCATCAAATCGTTTGGCAGCAGAAAACAGGGTGAAGGCATTTTTGACCGTGATTCCTCTTTTGATGATCTGCTGACACAGATGCTTCAGGCGGCTCTCACAGTAGGAGGTGGCCAAGTCCAGCAGGCCTGAAGAACAAGCACAAAAACAATGCATATGCACATCTATGGCCAGGCGCAGCAGACATTGATCGTGTAATAGATGACCAATGGCATCTTCAGGTGGAAGGTCAACAGTGTCTGTGTAGAGGAACTGCAGGAAGGAACGGTAGATGGCATACGAGAATTGGTTGATCTCAATCACTTCCTGACGACCTTCCACCCACTGGGAGCGGAACATTGAGCGGAAATGCTCACACCTTGAAAACATTTAAACGTGCATAACAAAAAGATAGCATTGCGCAGCGATGAATATCGTAATTGTTTGTATTCTCACGGACACCCGCAGTCAATTACTATTTAAAAAAACACGCACACACACACACACACACACACACACACACACACACACACACACACCTGATCTTCAGCACCGCTTTGTGAACATGGATGCATTTGCCTTCAACGTTAAACTTGAGGTCTGCCGTTTCAGGACTGTCAAATTCTTTCCTCAGTGCCTCCGCAACTGTCAGGAAGTCATTTTGCTCTAGACCAACGTAAAACATGCAGTGATTAGTGTATCCGCTGTAAATAAAACATTGAAGTGCTTCTCACCAACAGACACCAGTCTCCACATGACCGGTGGTGAAGCGAAACAGGCAAACACATCGTCTGTGTTGGTGAAGTAGGTGAGGCGTGGCATGACAACTGCTTGACCCCGACATTGACCCCACATATACACCTGGCCACTCTGCGTCTTGGCCGCTGAAATGTTGGTCGAATGGCATGCTGCCACCTCTACAAACCTGAGATGAAAAAATATCACTGGGAGAAGTTATTTCCCAATAACACCATGTCCATGAGACTTTTTAAAGCGTCCTGTTCCGAGAGACATAATGTGTTGATTGATGAAGCTGGTTTTCGGCCAATTTTTTATTTTTTGATTCATTTTGGAGGGTGGGGGGTTGCTGTGTGAGTCGTAGGGGTGTCATTTGGGGGACTCTTAAAATACATCCAACCCAAAAATGCGGCGGCCATATTAGCAAGGGAACCCGCCCCATCAAACATGGACATTAGCTTAGCATTACCATAAATGAGCACGTACTGAAGCTCAAAACCAGCCTATGTTCCTATTCATTTCAATGGCTGTTGTTTTCACTGGAGCCAGCAATGTACACATCTCTCGGCAATGTTATTTCCACACATTTTTTGCGTAACGGTGTTGAATGCTAACAGAGGCGGAAAAAGGAAGGGCTAACATTGTGGCTCACGAATGTGAGCAGATGCACACCGTGATCCTTCCCCCAACCCCCAGCAAAGTGCAATTGGATCAAACAATATGAAGCATTTGTATATTTATAGGCACAATAATTTTGTATTGTACTGTATTCGGTGTTTCAAGGCCACGGAAAAAAATGTTTCGGTTGTACATTATTCCCCAATAATCCATTTAATGAAGATTGTACTGGATATTTTGCCGTGTTCTTTTTCTATGTACCTCTCTTCATCGGCCATAACTTGCACAGGGCTAAAGCAGTTGTTCTTGTCTCCAGTTCCCAGCTGGCCGAATGTGTTTGCGCCCCATGAAAAAAGCAGTCCTTTATCCGTTACCGCGAGGGAGTGGCCGAAGCCTGACACCACCTACAGAGGAGAAAACTTGCAACATGCATCCGTGAGGAAGAATTACACCGCAGCAGGTGGCAATCCATACCTGCTTTATACAGGACTCTTGCAGAGCAGAGAGGCGACGAGGCATCAGCTCGTTTCTGTTGTTACCTACACCCAGCTGCCCGTTGCCATTGTAGCCCCACCCATGAATCTAGATCAAGACAAAATGGTTACAGAGCGATGTTGACTTGGCCCAATTCTACAACAGGGGCCTCACCTCTCCGTTGTCCAGCAGAGCCATGGAGGAGGACTGGCCACATGTGATACCCATCACGGTCTTACCCTGCAACGAGCCGCCCACCTTCAAGGGGAAAGCCTGGACGGCTACGGAACCTGAACCCACCTGGCCGTAGTCATTAAAACCCCATGCAAAGACCTATCATTTTGGAAAATGACACATTCAAATGATAGATGTGGAGACTTGTGAATAGTCTTGTTGGAAACGCTACCTCTCCATCCTCTGTAAGGACCATGGAGTGATGTGCACCACACGCCACCTCTTTTACTTTCTTGTTTTGAATGTTGGCAGTGACCAGCACCTGGGACAGCTCCTGGTTGGCCGTCCCGATCCCCAGCTGGCAGAAACCATTGTGCCCACAAGCAAATAGCTTCCCATCTAAGAAAATGACATATTTTAAGTGCAGTGTCATGTAAAAAAAGTCTCATGCCACCATAACAATTGTTGCCTTTGCAAAGCCGCGATGAACATATTCAGCTAGGCTACAGAATGTATTCCATCAGTCCTTACCTGACAAGGCACACTACCCGATATTCTGACAATTCTTAGTGTACCTTTATCTGGATCCTCGACATCTACCAACCGTCTACAAACTAAGCCTCTAATGAAATTTATGGATGTTGTTTGTGTATTCCCATACATGCTGAAATGACTGTTGTGGATGGGCAAAGGTTGTTAATTGAAACAAGCTTGTGGTTACCCTCCGTTGCCAGCAGGATGTGCGGCCCACTGCCGTAGCTCAGGCTAACCACCTTCTTCCCCTCCAGGCAGCTCAGTTGCTTCGGCACAATGGTGCTTATACCATCTCCTGTTCCCAGGCAGCTACTGCAGTTCAAGCCGAACACAAATACCTGTGTGACATGTCACTTCAATGAATAATAATAAAATACATTTTAAAAATGAGTTTTTTCATAATCTGTCATCATTCGGATTGGTTTTTTTTTTTGCTTTGACTGGCAATTATAGCAACAAATTACTATTTTAATAACTGATTGTGGATTATTTTGTCAAACAATGGATGAATCCGATTTAAAAAAACAAACAAACAAACATGTCCCTTCATTTTAAAGACATGACAATATTTCAAATTGACATTGCTGAAAATGCACAAAAAATTATGATTCATTTCCTGGTTTGGTTCATAACATGCCAGAAACTAGGCAAACATGTGGAGCATTGTGATCCAAAGTAAAAACAAATGTTTTATTTTGATTCAACATAATCAGTGGAGGACTACAGGAATTGGATATCTACTACTAAGAAGCTGAAATTCTGAAGATTTGAACAATTTAAATGATAAAAAGTTGCAATTCGATTATCAAAAAAAATATTGATTATTTGAGAATTGATTAGTTGTCGATTAATCGTTGCACCTCTACAAGCTGTTTCCTGTACGGTCAAACTAAACATTATTATACATATATTTAAAACACCCACGAACATAATTTTGCCTTAGGAAAGCCCGTCTGGCTCAGTGCTAACAAACAATGGAAAACGCTAGACACACTAAGGAATAGCATCAGTGTGCTAGGGTCATAACGCTTAAATAACAGTCATTTGAACACAAAAGGTGGAACAACACACATAGCTAAATAAAAGATAAGGGAATGCAGTGGAGCACCTTGTTGTCGTTTGTGATGTAGATGGCCTCATTCGCAGATGCTCCAAAGACACAGGCCTGTTGGATTGTGGCAAGCTCCTCGGTGCTCAACAACAGGAGCAGAGGCCACTTGCTGAAGTCCAACATGACTTGCCGACAAACTCCACCTTCGCAGTTGCTAAGGCGCAGGCTCGAGGCTTCAAAAGAGACAGTGGGAGGTGAGAGGTGGGAAAACAGTAAGTGAATTCATCCCAGCCCACACTTGATGCAATGAAGAACAGGTGTAAGATTGATGCCAGTGGGGTTAAGGTACTGAGTGCTCTCAAATAGTTATACACCGTATTGCATTCACTGTGAAAGTGATGGTAGTTTGTCTATGTGTGCGCTGCGATTGGCTGGCAACCATTTTGCCGTCAAACACACTTACTGCCCCAAGTCAGCAGCTGGAATAGACTCCAGCGCAACTCTTGTGAGAAGCGGCTCGGATAATGGATGAATGATTGCATGCACGTTTGTTACACAACAGTGTTCCTTTAGTGCTTTGTCGTACAATTTTTGCTTCTACACTGTCAGATGATACAGGCTGTGTTACTGTTATTTTAGAAATATAGTATCTGTTCTTGATCCTGGAAATAGGCAGGCACAATACTACTGCTGCCTAGTACCATTTTGCCAGCAAACAGGCTGCTCTTCTCATTGCTTCTATCCTTCTACATGATTCAAAAGCTTCTTTCCCACCTTACATTCACCGCATTTGTGTGGCTGCATAAGCTCCCGACATGCTGGCCTTTTTTGTTTCTTAACGGAACAGTTTCTTTTCGAATCCAGGGAAACTCTCATTGGAGGTCAATTCATATTGCATCCAGATATGGACAAAATTATTGGTACCCACACTGATCATTGTATAACTTGCCAAGATAGATCAAAATGAACAGATACTACTAATCAGACATTTTTTTTTGTGGTCCAACCATTTCAGTTTTTTTAGGTATGTGGTCTAGACAAAAATGATACCGTTAATGTTACACAATTTTTGAATACTCAATGTGCATCTCTTGGCCCACGTTTGAAGAATGCGTTCTTTAGACTTCATATTTCAGCTCCAACAAATGTCCAGTAGGATTTAGACTAGAGGTGGGCAAGTCCGGTCCTCGAGGGCCACTATCCTGAATCTTTAGATGTCTCCGTCCTCCAATACACCTGATTCGAATGATCAGTTCATCAGCAAGCTGTGCAGAAGCTGGATAACTATCCCGATCATTTAAATCAGGTGTGTTGAAGGAGGGAGACATCAAAAACAGGGGACAGCAGCCCTTAAGAACCGGAGTTGCCCACACCTGATTTAGACCATGGACTGTTCTGAATAGTTCAATATTTTGCTAATCGCCATTCATTTTAGCAAATTCCAATCTCATTGGTTTAAATTTATTGAAGCGGTCACTGTGTTTTCCTGTCACCAATAACTTTGCCCTCGCCCCATGTGTACGAAGATACAACAAAACGTAATAGTGAAACACGGAAGTGGCTAGGTTATGCTTTGGTGCTGGTGTCTTGAATCTGTGCATGGCACGCGATGACGAAATCTCAGGACAAAATTTGTCACTGTTTTCATTGTTTAAGTGTTCTTACAGAACATAACAAGTAGTGTTTAAGGCAGAAAAAACATGCAAAACATGTCTCATAGTTTGATCAGTGGAGAGGTGGAGTGCATGGGTTCGAACCCTGAGTGCGTGGACGGTGCAGGAATGCCATCATTTATAGGTGTGCCCCACCCCTCTTTATTTATTATTATTATTATTATTTTTTTTTAAATTATTATTATTTGATCCAGAACATCCCTAGAAGTAAGAGAGTTGTAATTGGTGCAGACTTCAATGGACATGTTGGTGCAGGAAACAGAGATGAGGTGGTGATGGGCAGGTTTGCGCTCCATATGAGGAACTCAGAAGGACAGATGGTGGTTGACTTTGGTAAGAGGATGGAAATGACTATAGTGAATACTTTCTTTCAGAAGAGGCAGAAACATAGGGTGACCTATAAGAGTGGAGGCAGGAGTACACAGGTAGACTATATTTTGTGTAGACGGTGCAATCTGAATGAAATCAGTGACTGCAAAGTAGTGGGAGGTGAGATTGTAGCCAGACAGCATAGGTTGGTGGTGTGTAGGATGACTCCGGTGGTGAGGAAGATGAAGAGAGCAAAAAAGCAGAGCAGAGGACAAAATGGTGGAAGCTGAAAAAGAAAGAATGTCGAATAACTTTTAGGAAGGAGTTGAGACAAGCACTGGGTGGTCAGGAGGTGCTTCCAGATGTCTGGAAAACTACAGCTCATGTGATCAGGGAAACAGGTAGGAAAATACTTGGTGTATCATCTGGAAGGAAAGTAGATAAGGAGACTCAGTGGTGGAATGAGGAGGTGCAGGAGTGTATGCAGAGAAAAAGGTTAGCTCAGAAGAAGTGGGACACTGAGAGGACTGAAGAGAGTAGACAGGAGTACAGGGAGATGCAGCGCACGGTGAAAGTAGAGGTGGCAAAGGCCAAACATGAGGCCTACAATGACTTGTATGCTAGGCTGGACAGCAAGGAGGGAGAGACTCCATCTATACCAGATGGCGAGACAGAGTTGGTAAGGATGTGCAGCAGGTTAGGGTGATTTAGGATAGAGATGGAAATGTACTGACAGGTGCCAGCAGTGTGATGGGAAGATGGAAAGAATACTTTGAAGAGTTGATGAATGAGGAAAATGAGAAAGAACATGGAGTAGAAGAGGTGACTGTTGTCACAGTAGCAAAGATTAGCAAGGATGAAGTGAGCGGAAAGGCACTCGGGCCTGATGATTTACCAATGGAGGTATGGAAGTGTCTAGGAGAGGTAGCAGTAGCGTTTCTGACTGGGTTGTTCAACAAGATCTTAGATGGTGAGAAGATGCCTGAGGAATGGAGGAGAAGTGTGCTGGTGCCCATTTTTAAGAACAAGGGAGATGTGCAGGGTCGTCGTAACTACAGAGGAATAAAGTTGCTAAGCCATACAATGAAACTATGGGAAAGAGTAGTTGAAGCTAGACTAAGAGCAGAAGTGAGCATTTGTGAGCAGCCGTATGGTTTCATGCCAAAAAAAAAAAAAAAGAGTATGACAGATGCAGTATTTGCTTTAAGGATGTTTAAGGAGAAGAAATGTGGTATTGTATGAGGAATTCTGGGGTGACAGAAGTATGTCAGAGCAGTGCAGAACATGTATGATGACTTAAGACAGCGGTGAGGTGTGCTGTATGCGTGAGTGAGGAATTCAAGGTGGAGGTGGGACTTCACCAGGGGTCATCTCTGAGCCCCTTCTTATTCGCTATGGTGATGGACAGGCTGACAGACGAATGAATGAGAGGGACCCAAGTACAAGAGTGAGGTTACAGGGAGAAGAGATAAAGAAGGTGGAGGATTTTAAGCACTTGGGGTCAATTGTCCAGAGCAATGGAGAGTGCGGAAAAGAGGTGAAGAAGCATCGACAGGCAGGCTGGAACGGCTGGAGAAAAGTGTCAGGTGTGATGTGCAATAGAAGAGTTTCAGCTAAGATGAAAGGAAAGGTGTAGAAAACTGCGGCGAGACCAGTCATGCTGTTTGGACTGGAGACAGTGCCACTGAAGAAAAGACAGGAGGCAGAGCTGGAGGTAGCAGAGATGAAGATGTTGAGGTTCTCTTTGGGAGTGACCAGGTTGGATAGGATCAGGCATGAGTACATCAGAGGGACAACTCATGTCAGAGGTTTTGGAGAGAAAGTCAGAGAGGCCAGACTGAGATAGTTTGGACATGTCCAGAGGAGAGAGGGTTTATATATATTGGGAGAAGGATGCTAAGTCTTGAACTGCCAGGCGGGAGGCCGAGAAGACCAGAGAGGAGGTTTATGGATGTCGTGAAAGAGGACATGAAGGGAGCTGGTGTGAAGGAAGAGGATGCGCAAAACAGGGTTAGATGGAGGCGACTGATTCGCTGTGGAGACCCTGAAGGGAAAAGCCCAAAGGAAAAGAAGATTATTATTATTATTATTATTATTATTATTATTGAACACCTGCCCCTTCAAAGGTGACTGCATGCCCCTGAGTGGACATCTATTGATGGAACATGCAGTCTTGAAACCCAGCTGGAGCAGTTTGCTCAAGAGTGGGCCAAAGGAGGCTCCAATATGCAACAATTTGAATTCAGCGACTTCCTTTGGGACAATATAAAGTTACATATTTTTTTTGTCCAGGTCATTAATTCTGTGAAACTAGGGATATGTAGCAATCTTCAACTCACCTCTATTTTATAGCGCTTTCACCGCAGCTGCAGAAGCTTTATTTATTTAGTTATTTTTTAAGTATGCCATTTATTGACATTATTTGGTCAGTTTCAAGTTATTTGAAGTGAGTCATCGTGGGCTTTCCTTTCTTCAACGGACGGGTACCAGGACTTTTGTTTTGTCCACATGGGCATTACATTCTTGGAAGTGTGGTTCCTACCTACAACATCGGAGTTGGGGAGACGGCATGAACTTGCGGTTTGTGTTCAGCGATGCAGCGAGCCACAACCGTGCACAAATGTTCCACTTTCTTCGTGGAGAAAGCGTCTTCGCGTCTTACTATGTATATAAAGATCTCCACACTTTCGTCACCAAACGCCGTCGGTGTGATCGTCATACGAACGCAACAATTGGGGTGTAATCGAAGTCAGGTGCGTGCGGCTCACGGGCTCAGATATATTTATTGTTCATGATCGTTTCGGGCTACAAAAGAGCTTGCTGGTGAGCTGATCATTTGAATCCGGTGTGTTGGAGTACGGAGGCAACGAAACAGGCAAGCAGGGGCTCTCGAGGAATCGGAGTTTTAAAAAAAAATAACCGCCGGCAAAACAGGACTAATGTTCCTCTTCCACTGGGACGGGCATGGAGCCTGCTTAGCGTATGTTGTACTACAAGTATTGACTCGTTTAACTTGCAGAAAAAATGTCAGAATTTAGACAAGTAGTCAACACGCTTCCTGAAGTCGGATCTCAAACTCAAGCAAGACAGAGGTACAAACTAGACATAGAATTGACGCTAGCTGCATACCATGTAAAACTGTAATTACCTGTTTTTAAGGCTTGGAAGTATTGGGAAACTCTGACGTTGCATTTATAGGATGAAACAAACTCATACGGTGGATGGGAACCCCTTTTTCTTGTTTGCTGGAAGTCAGTGAGTCAGATAGCCGCGCTAGGGGGAGACAAAGTCCGTTTTGAAAAAGAAGTACAGTATCTCTACACTACCTTGTTGCTGAGGGTTCTCGTGGGGAAATGATTGTGTGCGCGACTTCCTGTAAGACAGTGGAAGCAGCATTTTCGTATTTATTACAGCGCGTTTCATTTCAGGGAGTGATTTATTTGAACCTAGCCCCCATCCCCTCCCCTATCTCATCCAAACAAGGCTTTCCATATTTTGATTCCCAAACAATAGGACACTTGGTTCGGCCTCGGGGTACTGAAACGATACTCAAAGATACCATCCATACACTATAACTAATCATTTTAAAATAGGCTTGCATGATATTGGAAAAATATGCAATATATCCATCCATTTTCAACACCGCTCTCCTGAACAGGGTCGCAGAGGGTGCTGGAGCCTATCCCATCTGACAAAACCCACAATTGGTTATCAGTCACTCGCAGGACACATAAAGAGACGAACAACCATTTGCAACCACATCTACACCATCACTGAATGGAACCGATCTCACACTACCCACACACAAGTCAGGCAAGTGTACCTCTACACCAGGGGTCGGCAACTCCGGTCTGAGAGAACCACAGCCCTGCATGTTTTCGGTCTCTCCCTGCTGTAACAGTAGGATCAAAATTATCAGCAAGCTCTGTAAAAGCCCAATAACAATTATGATCATTTGAATCAGGTGTCTTGGAAGAGGGAACTTCTAAAACAAGGTCGCGACAAAGGTCGCGGGGGCGTACTGGAGCCTATCCCGGCTATCTTCGGGCAGTAGGCAGAAGACACCCTGAGCTGGTTGCCAGCCAATCGCAGGGCACACAGACAAACAGCCATCCACGCTCACACTCACAACTACGGACAATTTCGAGTGTTCCATTAACCTTCCATTCAAGTTTTTGGAAAGTGGGAGGAAACCGGAGTACCCGGAGAAAACTCACACTGGCTTGGGGAGAACATGCAAACTCCACACAGGGAGCCGGAGCTGGAATTGTTTCCAGTACGTCTGTACTGTGAGGTCGATGCGCTAATGGTTAGCGGCTCACCACTGGACCATCGGGCCACGCCAAAGGAAAAAATCATTCTCTAAATGGAAATATTTAAATGGATTACATGTTCCCCGATTCATTTTTACCTTTTTACATTAAGTTTAGAGTAGACGGAACAAATGAAAACTGTTAGATTTGCCACTCAGCGCTGTTATATGCGCCTGTGTGATGAGGCATGCAACAGTTGTATGACTGGCTGCTCTGTATGTCAATCAAGTGACAAATTTCACAACGGATGATAGGAGGGGTACTTTTTTAACTCATGCACTGCCTTTGAGAGGACGTTTTGTTATGTTTTTTCCTGGCTCTGTTTACCAGTGACCTAGTCTGTACTTTGTCGGTTTTGAGCTTTCAAACTATCCAACAGCCCGGTGTCAACCGTCGACACCTTCAATTTCCTGGGAATTGCAGTCTCCCAGGACATGAAGTGAGAGGTCACCATTAACTCTATCCTGAAAAAGGCACAGTAGAGGATGTAGTTCCTGAGGCTGCTGAGGAAGCACGGCCTGCCATGGGGGCTAATAAGACAGTTTCTACACAGCAGTCATGGCGGCACCAAACCAAACTGCGATGGAAAAACACAGGTTCCTCCATCGCAGTTTGGTTTGGTGCCGCCACCGTGTTCCTCCATCGCAGTTTGCTTGGTGCCGCCACAAAAAAAGGTCAAAACCTGACTGCAACGGACAGCTAGGGCTGCGGAAGAAAATCATTGGCACCACACTACCCACTTTTGAGAACTTGCATACCGCAAGAACCAAGGCAAGGGTATGGAAAATCCTACTGGACCCCCTCACATCCTGCCCATCACCTTTTCCGGCTACTCCCCTCAGCCAAGCGCAACAGATCCATGCACACCAAATCCAGCACATTCAAACCGCTTCTTCCCTCTCACCATTAACTCCCCAAACAGTAACCCAAATCTATCGTGGCTCTTTGCATTTTTGCACACCCCTGTCGAACAGCATTACGGCAATAATCATTGTAGCTCCAGCTCTGTCACTGATCTCTATTCCACAGCACCACTTTAACGTGCACAAGCATTTTCTGTAGAATTGCACACTTAATTGTTCTACAAATACTGTTACTGGTCACTTTAAAATGGTGCAACGATTATCTGCCCCAACAACCGTTTTTGTATTGTATTCCACCACTGATCACTTTATCTTTGCTCGACACATTGTCTCACAGCTGTCATTGGGTGGTACTACTGCACCATGGTGCCCTTACATTACAGAAAAACTTTCGATACTTATTCGTCATGTTGTTTATCGTAGTTTATTGATATTGATAATACTAGTGTAGCCTGTACTACCTGAGACAAATTCCTTGTGTGTTTCTACTTACTTGCCCGCCCAATAAAGATGATTCTGATTCTGATACATATGACTGGACTATCACTAGGCCCCTCTCAGATGAAGCCAGAGAGCAGCCATCTTATGCTGTTACTTACAACTTGTGATTTGTGTTCGTTGAAATCACTTTTATCAGTGTATTTTATGCAAGGATCCCTATGGATTAATCATAACGTATGAAAGAACGAACTTCGCTTTTTGTATCAAGCAATCAGAGTATATTACCTCAGTATTGTGAATTGTGATGCCAGTGAGGCGCAATGGGATCCTGAACACAGTAAACTAGACTTGCCTTGCCACAAAAATTAAGATGCATCTGTTTTTATGCCTGCCAAGTGTCACGAAGCAAGGTGGTGGTGGACCCAAAAAGCAGGCACGAGGTAGGAGCAGGGTGTATTTGAAGAAGTGTATTGATAAAACACAGAAAACTAAATCCTAAACGAACAAAGTCCAAAGTATCAAACAAAAATCATGACTGAATATAACAGCAACCGAAACATGACTGAAACAAACCTGGTAGTAGTATCAAACAAACATGACAGCAGCCAAAAGCAAACAATGACCCGACAACGAATGCTCGGGTTGGGAGTCCTTTTAAAGCACTAATTACCTAACGACCAACAGGTGTGCAGCTGCAGGGAAAAGCCCCACAGTGCCACCTGTTGGTCACAAACCAAAACATGACACCAAGCGCCGTGGCACCTGTCTAAGTAAATAGTGCCACATGTTACTGTTGTGAAATAAGGCTAGCCCAAGGCTCAGCAACCGTAAATACTCATCGAGCCATTGCTGTCCACCTCTGAAAACCCCCCAAAACAAAACACCGGGAACCACAAAACCGTTTTGATATCTAAAGTAAAAGCTCCATTGAAGCAGAACATCAATTTAATCCCAAATTAACGGATTTTGGATTTCCACTGTCTCGTATTTTTTCTTTGGGTGTTGTATAAATGATGAAAAAAAAAACAAAAAAACGATTGTTTGTTGCATCACTGAAATTTTATTGTTGCATGAAAATATTTTGCATTCTGAAAAAAATGGTTGGAGCATAAATAAGTCAATGTCTGTTTGAGTCCTCTTCACATTAAAACCAAATTTTAACGAGGCTATCTATACCCAAAGTCGAAATTGAAGTATCTACCTGCAGCAAATCAAAAAGGCACTCTTCCTCTCTGTTCCCTCATTTTGTCACATGGTGTGGAGCGTGCACTTGAATAGGACTTGTTTAAAATGTTGCCGTTGAGTTTACCTTCATCACTTGGCCCTCAGGATAGACTGCACATTGATAGCAACAAGGCGTTTTATGAACATTCACGGTCACTGATATTCTTAAATGCCTCCACCCGCTGTGGAACATATCGGGGTAGGGAACTCCGGTTCCCCGAGAGCCATATCGTGCCTGTTTTAGATCCCTCCCTACTCCAACACACCTGGTTCAAAGGATCATCTCATCAGCAAGCTCTGTAGAAGCCCGAAACGATCATGTTCAATTGAATTAGGTGTGTTGGACTAGGGAGAACTCTAAAACAGGCAGGATATGGCTCTCGAGGAACCGGAGTTCCCTACCCCTGCTGTAGATCAATGGACAGACACAGAGAATCAGTTGAAAATAACTAGCTACATTAGCTAGCTAGCTAGTTAGAGGGCTAGCTCGCTAGACTAATCTACCTTTAAATCAGTTTCTTCTCCTCTTTCCAGCTCGTCAAACTAGCCTCACATGTTCTCAAAGAGCTCATGCTAATGTTTGCGTTAAGAGTTTGTGCTAGCGTCTTCACATTTTTCACAAAGGTGACAACGGAGCGACCTTTGACGTTTTCTTATTCTTTCAGTTCATTTCTCAGCTGATGAGCTTCCTGATCGGCTTTGTCAGCCTGGTGTTCTGCGGCCACCTGGGGAAAACCGAATTGGCCGGCGTGGCGTTAGCGATCGCGGTAAGACGTCTTTTGGCCGAATCGCACGCGATGATCTCACGCCACCGTTTTGCCTCAGGTGATAAACGTTTCGGGTATTTCCATCGGCAGCGGCCTGGCGTCAGCATGCGATACGCTCATCTCTCAGGTATTCTTTTGA